GTCCTTGGTGTGGGGCCGCTCTGAGCCGTCCCCATGCTCGCCAGCTCTGGTCCGGGGAGCAGACCTCGCGCCTGTGCGAGGAACCGGGCCAAGTCCTCCCGTGTGGCCGGGCCAGGACGGCTTCTCAGAGTGGTTAGCAGCCCCGCCGGCCGAGCTGCCCTCGGCGTGGCCCCCGCGTCAGGCGCGGAGGGGACCGGATGTGGATCTGCGTGCCCCGTGCTGCTGGGTCCCGCTTACCCACTGTGGTCTGTCCTCCGGCAGCGTCACCCGCAACTATCTGGACTGGCTGACGTCCATCCCGTGGGGCAAGTACAGCGACGAGAACCTGGACCTGGCCCGGGCCCAGGCGGTGCTGGAGGAGGACCACTATGGGATGGAAGACGTCAAGAAGCGCATCCTGGTGAGGCCCTGCACCCCCCGGGGAGGCCCTGCACCCCACTGGGGTCTGGCCTGATCCTCCCTTGGGCATGCATGTCCCGGGCACCCGGTCCCTGCATCCCGGGCGGGCAGGCGCTGACAGGCGGGGTCCGTCGTGGTCTGAATCTCTGCGGGGGTGGCGGGCACCTCAGAGTCTGGGGCCCAGGATTCCCTGTGCTGTGGGGAGACCCAGAAGAGCCCCCTGGGAATCTGTAGGTCTGGGGCCACGAGGGAGCGGGCTTGCCATAGCGAGGCTGGCGGGGTCAGCAGGGTGAAGGATGGTGGGGGGTGGGGGCCTCTAGAGGGACCGGCTGGCTTTGGAGCGGCTAGGAAGTGTCAGGGGCAGCCCGTGTGCCCGGGCCAGCCTGCTCTGCTCCGAGGAGCTCGTGGGTTTACCAGGGGGATAAAGATCGTGCTGGACACAGCACGAGACAAGGGCTGAGACCGGGCCGGCGGCGGGCTGGACTGGAGAGGCTGTCGGGACCCAGGGTGTGGCAGGAAGGGCCTGCTGGGCGAGGGCGCTGCCTCATGGGCGTGGCGCCGTGGTCCCCCACACTCGACCGTCCGTCCTCGCGTTCTCCTGGCGTCTGCTCGCCCTGTTGGTGCCACAGGCTATCCCTCCCGGTGGCAGATGACCGCTCCAGTCGGCTGAGCCCCTCTGGGACAGGCCTTGTCCCTCTGGCAGCCCCCAGGAGCCTGAAAGGCAGCGTGAAGGCAGCGAGGCTGCTGCCAGGCTCCACGCGTGGAAGGGCGCGTGCTCACAGGAGCCGGCCCTGCCCTGCCCGCAGGAGTTCATCGCTGTCAGCCAGCTCCGAGGCTCCACCCAGGGCAAGATCCTCTGCTTCTACGGGCCCCCTGGCGTGGGCAAGACCAGCATCGCCCGCTCCATTGCCCGCGCCCTGAACCGCGAGTACTTCCGCTTCAGCGTTGGGGGCATGACCGACGTGGCCGAGATCAAGGGGCACAGGTAGGCCCGGCGCCTCCCCTCGTGGCTCGTCCCAGCCCCCTGTGGGGTTTCATTCCTCCTGGGTCTGCTCCCCTCTGTGTTAGAGAGATTTCAGTGGGGGCAGCAGACTCCATTCACACTGGAGTAATTAACTGAAAAGTCCAGGCATCGATGTGACTTCAGGCCTGGCTGAGTCCAGGCGCTCAAAGAACACTGGACCAAAATCTCAGCCTCTTGACCAGCGGGAGGGCCCCTCAGCCAGGCTGTCAGTTGGTGGCTACTCCCTGCCCTCTCCTGGCAGGCCAGGCACTGTGGGCTGGGTTTCACCGTCTGGATAGGAGGTGCCAGCTAGGGGGCTGGGTCTGAGGGAGAGCTGGCAGCAACCCTGCGCCCTCTGCCTTGCCTCTGAGCTGGGGGAGGGTGGCATGTGTCTGCACTGGCGGGCATCAGGCGGTGCGGGTGACGAGGCCCTACAGACGGCCGGCGGCCTCCACCATGGCCACGGTGGGTGCGTCTCCCTCCTGCCCCCTGGGCTGAGCTCTGGGTCCCAGGGAGTGGGCGGCGGGTGAGGCTGCCGCCCAGCTGTGTGCTCCCACAGGCGGACGTACGTGGGCGCCATGCCGGGCAAGATCATCCAGTGCCTGAAGAAGACGCGGACGGAGAACCCCCTGATCCTCATCGACGAGGTGCGCGGCCCTCCATTCCCGTGGTTCCCGAGTCACCTGGGTGGCCTCGCCCCCGAGGGTCCCTGCTGCCCTTGCCCAGCCCCGCCCCGCGCTGGCCTCCCCGCCGAGTCCGGGGAGCAGGACGGGCGCCCACAGCCGCCTCCGCTGCCTGCAGGTGGACAAGATCGGCCGGGGCTACCAGGGGGACCCGTCGTCTGCGCTGCTCGAGCTGCTGGACCCCGAGCAGAACGCCAACTTCCTGGACCACTACCTGGACGTGCCCGTGGACCTGTCCAAGGTGCGTTGGCGCCCGGCCCGGGCCCGCGGGCGAGGCGGCCGCCGGTGCTCACGCGTGCCGCCCGCAGGTGCTGTTCATCTGCACGGCCAACATCACCGAGACCATCCCCGAGCCCCTGCGGGACCGCATGGAGATGATCAACGTGTCGGGCTACGTGGCCCAGGAGAAGCTCGCCATCGCCGAGGTGAGGCCGCCCTTCCCCAGGGCGCCGTCTGTGGGGGTCCTGCTCGTGAAGCTTCCATTCACGAGGGGGACACGCGGGATCTGCCGTGCAGTGCGGCATGAGGTCACCCAGAGAAAGTTATAAACTGTGTGTGTGTGTCCCCCACCCCACGTGTGGCCACCCTACGCCTGCCCGTTCTCCAGCCGTGTCCGCACTTCAGCTCAGTGCTGACCCTGAGCACGGGAAACAGCCTCGGCCGCGGGTTCAGGGCACGCCAGGCCTCTGACCTCTGACCCACCAGCCACGAATCGGGGTTCCCACACTCCTCCTGGGGTTTGAGAATTTGCTAGAACAGACGCAGAGGGGAAGGGGCAGGGCCTCAGCCTCCCTGGGCGCCACCCCCTGTCCCTCGGGTTCCTCCACACCCCACTGTCGCGGGGCGTTGTCGGGGTTCCCGCACGTGGGCACGATCGAGTCAGTCGCTGGCCACTGGTGACGAGGTCACTCCCCAGCCCCTCTCCCCTCCTTGGGGGTCGGGTGGGGCTGAGAGCTCATCCCTCTGACCCCGGGTTGGTCCCCTGGCCGCCAGCCCCGTCCTCCGAGGGTTGCCTCCCTCGTTAGCATGAGCTCAGGTGTGGCTGAGATTCAAGGGCTTCTTGTGACTGACAGACGCCTGTCACCTGTCCCTCCCTGGGAGGCTCCCAGGGTCTGGGAAGCTGTTGCACCGGGACGTAAATCTGGCTGTAGCCCGCCCTCGCGGCCGCAGCTCGGGGAGCAGAAAGGGGTAGCCTGCGACCACAGCGGCTTCTAGGGCCCCTGGGGTCGTGAGCTCAGCCCCATAGCAGATTCACCCCGAGTGCCCCGGCCTCGTGCCCACCCCGCCTGGCCCCGAGGTGGCCCCAGGTCCCCCAGCACCTGCCGATGGGGCAGTGCTGGCTCCCCGGGTGTGTGAGCACGGAGCCAGCCTAGGCGGGCCCCGGGGGTCTGGGTCTCAGACGGGCGTCGCCCCCTCCTGGTTGCGGGAGGGTCCCAGCCTGGAGTGGGCTCAGGCCTGCTCTCGGCCCGAGGGGCGGTGGAGGGGAGTCTTGTGTTTCTGACGCGGCGCCTTTTTTCTGGGGGGCAGCACATTTCTCCCTGAGCCCTTCGCAGCCGGGTGACAGGGGCTGGTCCCAGCTCAGGTGTCCCCTGGGGGCCGGGAGGGGAGGAAGAGCAGCTCTCGGCTGTGGTTATTGCTGGGGTGTGGGGACCCCCACCACGTGCTCCATCCACCACCAACATGGAGACCCAACTGAGAGAAGCAGGAGTGGAGCCTTGAAGGGACCCAGGCCAACCCTGCCAGTTGGCAGATGCACTGACGCACAGGGCTCTGCCCACAGTCGGGGCTCGGCACAGTCTGTCTAGTGACGGCCGTGTGCAGAGGTCGGGCTGGGCCGTGGGGGACCGTGGAGCCTCTGATGCCCTGTCGCTGTCTGCTGAGTGTGGTGGCTGCATGATCAGCCGCCACACAGGCCCTCGGTCTGTATGTGGGTGAGCCCAGGGAGGCCTTCCTGGAGGAAGCGCCGTCTCAGATACCATCTGGAGGGTGGGCGGGAGTGGCAGCCGGGCAGAGGCCTGGAGACTCGGGAGTGTGTGTTGGCGGCAGGGCAGACTCACCGTTCAGGGCCCTGGCGCCCTCCCTCATGGCCTTGGGCCTCCTCCCCCATGAGGGCTCAGCTCAGGGGTCACCTCCTGGAGGCACTCGCCCCATGAGGGCCAGAGATCCATGCGGGCCGGCCCTGGGCCCCTCAGGGATGGCGCTCACCCACGGGGTGCTGACGGTGCTCTCCTCCCTGCCAGCGGTACCTGGTCCCGCAGGCCCGCGCCCTGTGCGGCCTGGACGAGAGCAAGGCCCGGCTGTCGTCAGCCGTGCTGACGCTCCTCATCAAGCAGTACTGCCGGGAGAGCGGCGTGCGCAACCTGCAGAAGCAGGTGGAGAAGGTGAGCGGGGCCAGGGGCTGGGGGCGGACGGGAGTCAGTGTTTCACGGGGGCAGAGCTGCAGTTTGGGAAGATGGAAGGTTCTGGAGACGGAGGGGACGGCTGCACAACCGTGTGAATGTGCTTCCTGCCGCTGAGCCGTACACTTAAAACGGTTCAGAGAGTGACTTTGGCGGCGCGTAAGGAGGAAGGAGCTGTGGCGGCGGGTGGGCTCCTGCGTCCCGCCCCGGCCAGCGCGCTGTCCCCCAGGTGCTGCGGAAGTCTGCCTACAAGATCGTGAGCGGCGAGGCCGAGTTCGTGGAGGTGACGCCCGAGAACCTGCAGGACTTCGTGGGCAAGCCTGTGTTCACGGTGGAGCGCATGTACGACGTGACGCCCCCCGGCGTGGTCATGGGGCTGGCCTGGACCGCCATGGGTGAGCTGTCCCTTCCGCGGGCCCTGGGCCAGGGGCTTGCCCTCGCTTCTGCGCCCTTCCCAGTGACGGGGTGACAGGCCATAGGATTGGGGCTGATCGAGAAAAAGATGGGGCCTCGAGGTGGCAGCAGCGTCCACAGCTTTATTTGGGGGACACTTGGACAGGTGTGCGTGCGGGAGGGTCCTCCAGCACGAGCAGGGGAGGAGGGCAGGGAGCGCCGGGCAGGGGTCGGAGGGGGCGTCCGTGTCCCGAGACGTCCTTCAGCCCCACACAGGCAGTTGGAGGGCGGGGTCCTTGACAGCCCAGGGGTCGTCTTGGGCCAGCAGGGCTGGGCGCAGCTTTGTAGGTGCATGAAGGGTGCAGGCTCCAGGTGGCAGGATGGCTGTTCTGCAGGAGGGACCTGAGCTCAGCCCTGGCCGTGCTGAGGCCTGCAGCGGAGGCTGGTGCAGGGCCATCTCTGGGTCCTTCCTGTATCCTGGTCCCTGCAGGTGGAAGCTGCTCCCTGGAGGAGGTGGTGTGGGCACAGGGTGGCCAAGTCGTGACGGCTGAGGGAACGAGGGCTGGGGAAGGACCAGTGTAGCAGGCAGAGGGAACAGCAAGGGGACACCCTGAGATGGCTCAGGGTTCACCGTCTGGCCTCTCCCAGGAGGCTCCACGCTGTTTGTTGAGACGTCGCTGAGGCGGCCGCGGGACAGCGACAGCAAGGGTGACAAGGACGGGAGCCTGGAGGTGACAGGCCAGCTGGGGGAGGTGATGAAGGAGAGCGCGCGCATCGCCTACACCTTTGCCAGGGCCTTCCTCATGCAGCACGACCCCTCCAACGAGTACCTGGTGACCTCGCACATCCACCTGCACGTGCCCGAGGTGAGCCCCATCCCGTCGTGGCCCCGCACATCTGGCTCCAGGCAGCCCCCTGCCCCGCTGCCCCCACCCACCGCCTCTCCCCGCCCGCAGGGCGCCACCCCCAAGGACGGCCCGAGCGCTGGCTGCACCATTGTGACGGCGCTGCTCTCCCTGGCCATGGACCGGCCCGTGCGCCAGAACCTGGCCATGACCGGCGAGGTCTCCCTCACGGGCAAGATCCTGCCGGTGGGCGGCATCAAGGAGAAGACCATCGCGGTGAGCCAGCCCCCCACCCAGGGCTGCCCCAGCTCAGGACGACACATGGCTGCTGGCCCTGGGCCTCGGGAGGGAGGGGGCCGGCCCGTTACAGCCCGGCCAGAGCCACGTGGAGCTGGCTCTTAGCTGCACCTCCGTGTGGCTCTCAGCTTTGCCAGAACATCAGTGAACGTTCTAGGCCTCTGCATAGGAAGACTCCCCATCTGGGCTTCTGGAGGGCAGGAGGGGGCTCCTGTTTGCCAGCTGCCCACTTGCCCGGCACTGAGGGCAGCCGAGGTGCAGAGGCTGGGCCGGCCTCATGGGCGCTGGGTGGGCTGGGAGTACAGTGGCCGGGGGCTGGGTCCCTGCCCTCTGTGCCCAGCTCCCGTCTGACCCCGTTGTTCCCATGTGGCCCTGGCTTCTGTCCCCACCCCGCCCCCCTCGTGCTCCTGCAGAGCCTCCCTGATGGGGACGTCCCCAGGCAGGCCACGGAGGGTGACAAACGGGAACCGCCCACCAGGAGTGGAGTCAGACTGAGAGAAGGCAGGGGGTCCCTGAGCCGGGCTCCCGGCGCCCCCTGCACGTTGGGCAGGACACGCAGTCACTCTAGTCCAGCTGTGGTCCTCCAGCTGCACCCCGAGTCCACGCCGCGCGGCCCACCCCACCGCCGTTAGAGTCCCCCAGCGGCCGGCGCGAGCAGGTCCCCGGGCCCCCGCGGGTCGGCCTGACCGCGTCCCGTGTCCCGTGTCCCGCAGGCCAAGCGCGCGGGGGTGACGTGCGTGGTGCTGCCGGCCGAGAACCGGAAGGACTTCTTCGACCTGGCGCCGTTCATCACCGAGGGGCTGGAGGTGCACTTCGTGGAGCACTACCGCGACATCTTCCACGTCGCCTTCCCCGCCGAGCGCGCGCCGGCCGAGGCGCTGGCCGCGGAGCGGTGACGCGGGGCCTCCACCGGGGCCGGACTCGCTACCGAATCATGATTGCGATTAAACCGATTGTAGGACTGCGATGCCGCGTGTGTGCAGCCCCCCTGTCCCGACACAACACGACACGGCGCGTTCCGCGAAGCCTTTTATTGCTGTGGGGGGACGGGGCTCAGTCCTTCTTGGCCGCCGCCTTGCGCATGGCCGCCAGCACGTTGCTCAGCTCCTCCCGCTTCCTCTTCGCGCGGATGTGCGTCCCCACCTGCCGGCGAGCGCGGCGTGAGCGGCCGCCCGGGCCCGGGCCCCCCCGGTGACCCCCGCCCCCCGGCCCGGCCGCCCTACCCGCTTCTTGATGAACTTGAGCGCGCGCTTGTCCTTCGACACCTTGAGCAGCTCCATGGCGCGCCGCTCGTACGGGGCGAAGCCGCACACCTCGCGGATCATGTCGCGCACGAACTTGGTGTGCTTGGTCAGGCGCTGCGGGGACGCGCGTCAGCTGGCCGCTCCCCGAGCCCGCGCCCCTGCCCGCGGGGCCGCCGGCGCCACGCAGCAGCCACCCTCCTGGGCCCGCTCCTCCTCCGCTGGGCGGACTCCTACTCGTACATCAAAACCCGGCCCAGCCCCGCTCCTCCTGTCCCAGCCTCCGTCCCAGCGGCGCGGACAGGAGGCACCGGGGTCTCCATCCCCGCTCCGCGGGCCCCGCAGCCCGCCCTCCTGCCGCGGCCCCGGCACTCACCCCGCGGCGGCGGCTGTGCCTCGGCTTGCTCACGTTCTTGGTCACCTTATGGCCCTTGTTGAGGCCCACGGCCATCGGGTAGCGCAGGGCCATGGCTGCCGGCGGCGGCGGAAACGGGGTGGCGGTGAGTCCCGGCTCGGGCCCCGCCACCCGGAGCCCCCCGCCCCGGCTCCCCCGGGCCCTCCCGCGACACCCAGCCACCCCCCGAGCCGCGCGAGAGAGCCCCGGGCTTCAGATGGCGGCGGATGCCACCGGCACAGAGCGCTGCTAACCTGCTGCTCTCCAATGGCGGCCACGGCGGAAGGAAGGGCCAGCGCCGCGCGGGACTCTGGGATATCTATCCTCCGCCGGCGGAGCGGGCCAGAGAGGCAGGGGCGGCGTGCGCGCCCCCTGGCGGCCGGAGGAGTCCCTCCCGTCTTCCTGCGCATGGACACCCCGGCCCCTCGCGCATGCGCGTCTTCCGCAGCGGGCCGCACTGGGAGTCGGACCCGGTGGGCGTGGCTGCGGCTTGGGCACCTCCTTCTGCCGGGGGGTTGAGTTGGAACCGTCCCTCCGCCGCGGGCTGGGTCACCTGCACCAGCGGCTTCAGCTGCCAGGACCCAAATCTCCCCGTTTACAGAATGAGGACAGTCATACTACCTACTGCAAGCTGCGTGAACAAAATACAATGGTACCTGGCGCCAAAGCGAGCTCCCATCCGCGGGCGTCTTGGTATCATTATAAGATCGAGCTCTGGGCTGGGGCTGAGGATGGCGACGTGGCATAGTGCCCCCTGGTGGCAGTTGGTTTCACTTGCTGTAATTTTAGGTGGCGCGGGGATGGGAGGCGTGGTGCGAACACATTTTTTTTTTTTTCTGTTTTTTCTCTTCCAATCCTGCTTTGGGGCTGATCTGTTTGGGGTTAGCCCTTCGAAGATCTGCTAATCTTAGAGCTTTGGGCAGCCAACAGCAGCTAGCACTTTCTAGCACTGCATTCATTCTACAGGTTTTATCTTTACAGTTCCTTTCTGCAAGCAGCGCGCTGGCTTACCATTTTAGGGAAGGGAAATTTTCAATTCATCACTGTAAATATCAGCGATGTGCTGATGCAGCCCACCGTTGGCCTTAAACAGGGACAGGCTGGTGTCACAATCCCAGCTTCAGCCATTGACTCCCTCCCCCAAAGTGTCGTTCCCGCGTCTGTAAAATGGGAACAATGGTAGCACCGACGTCCAGCTGTGAAGATGCCCCAGATCATGAACGTCAAGGGCGTGGTGCCTGATGCGCGTTATCATTATTAGTGCACAAAGCATGGACTGCGTGCTGGAAATAAAGCCTTTGGGCCACAATCTGTACCCTTCCTTCTGCCCCTGACTTCCTGGGTGAGGTGCGCCTCCCTGTCGGCCTCCGTTTCCCCACCCGTGAAATGGGGCTGCGAATGCTGGTCCCGTGGCACACACCCACCCCTCTTTGCCCGCCTGCCGCCAGCCAATTGGAAGGACCACGCAACTGGAACAACGGATGTGCAAGGGAAGAAGGAGTTTCATTATGAAACGGGACGCTGGGTCCAGCCCAGACGCGTTCTTCCCCGCCCCCCAGGCCCCACCAGCAGTGGACAGCGTGGAGGCCCTCCCTTGCTGGGTACCAGGGTTGGGGGTGCTCCGACGCTGAGGGAGTGGAAAGAGCAAATCAGGGATGCAGTGGTTCCAGGTGGGAGGTGGAGAGAGTTCCCAGGGTGGCTCAGCGGCGGTGTGACCTGTTTGACGTGGCCAGGGCCCTGGGGCCAGGCACATCGCCTCTCTGAGCCTCAGTTTTCACATCTGTACAATGGAAGCAGCGATCACATCATCGATGACCGCGGAGAAGACGGAGGCAATGCCTCCCCAGTCCCTGACGAGGGGTCTGGCACACAGCGGACTGTTTCCAGGTGCTGGAAGTTTCTCTCGGTTTTCCTCTTCTGTCTCGAGGACTATCTTGGGCCGTGGCCACCCTCTAGGAGGTGTCCCGGCTCCCGGACGGTTGGATGGAGGGTGTTTCTCTGGGAAGATGAAGGGGCGCCCCCTCCAGGAGCTCAGGCAGCAGCGGCGGCGGCCGTGACGTTGAGCTCCTGGCGGATGAACCAGGCCCCGGGGCGCGGCAGCCATCCCCGGAGCAGGCAGAGCAGGTGGAAGCGCCACGGGTAGAAGACGCCCGAGGCGCGCGTGGCGCCCCCGCGGATCACGGCCAGGGCCGCCTTGGGCCCCGGGGCCGCCTTGGCCCTCGTGACGCCCCTGGGGACGGGAGGGCGCGGTGGGGACTGCGGCTGGGGCTGGGCGGGCCCCGCCACAGCCCCTTGCGCGGCCCCGGCTCACCGCCCAGGCCTCACCTGACTCCCTCGGCGGCGGAGGCGCGGTCCCGGAGGCCTAGGACGCACATGGTGATGGCCACGTTCACGTCCTGCACGTCCAGCTCCCGCCGCAGGGAGCCGAAGAAGCCGTCCAGCGCGAACTTGGCCGCCGAGTAGGGGCTGGAGAAGGAAGTGGGCACGCGGCCTGGGGGCACGGGAGGGCGTGGCTGAGCGGCCACACGCAGCTCCCCCTCCTCCAAGAAGCCTTCCTGGCCCCTCCTGGCTCACCAGCGTGAGCCTCCCCACGCCCCGCCCAGCGTGCACGCACCGAGCAGCGAGGACACCACCACCAGGGAGCCCTTGCTGTCCGTCAGGCTGGGCAGCGCCAACGAAGTCAGCTGCACGTAACTCAGGAAGTTCACCTGGACGTGGCGACTGCCAGTCACCGGCCCAGGAGGAACCCAAGACGAAAAGAGGCAGGGGGCGGAGCCTAGAACCTTGGGGCGGGGCCTGGGTAGGGACAAGAGGGGCTCGAGGGCTGGGGCGGGGTCCTGGATGGAAGAGCTGGACTGCTGGCCCCAGGGTGGAGCCAAGGCCGAGAGGTCCGGGAGCCTAGAACCGGAAGGACCGGGGCCCGGGAGGGCCAGGACCCAAGGTAGGGATGGCCGAGAGGGTGGAGTCCAGGACAGGGGAGCTGGAGCGCCGGCCTGGGAGGGCGGGGCCTAGAACCCGGAGGGGCGGGGCCTGGGGGTAGGCGGGATGGAGCCTGGCCCCGAAGGGCGGGGCCTAGAACCAGGGGGCGGGGCCTGGGGGTAGGCGGGATGGAGCCTGGCCCAGGAGGGCGGAGCCAGGGTCAGGAGAGGGCGGAGCCTGGACGCGGAGGGGGCGGAGCCTGGACGCTGAGGGGCGGGGCCCGGGGATAGGCCGAACAGAGCCTGCCTCGGGAGGGCGGAGCCAGGGCCGGGAGGGGGCGGAGCCTGGGCGCGGATGGGCGGAGCACCTGCAGGAGCCAGCGCGTGGCCTGCGCGCTGCGGGCTCGTGTGCCTGCTGGGGCGGCGCCGAGGTGGTTCAGCACGAGGTAGTCCAGCCCGCCTGGCCGGGAGAGGTCCGTCAGCCCCAAGGTAGTCCTTGAGGCTCCGCCCCTGGGACGGCTGAGACTCCGCCCGTAGCCCCGCCCCCTTGAACTAGCAAAGCTCTGGCTAGAGTATTAACCCAGGGAGCTGCGCCTAAGATCAAAGAGACCCCGCCCTACTCCTGGATCCTGCCAGGCTTGGTCCCTGATCCCATGAGGCCTGGTCCAGGGTTCCGACCCCTGGATGCAATGAGGCTCCACCCCTAGCCACGCCCCTGGGCCCCATAAATCTCCGCCCTCAGACATCTGTTACGACCACACCCCCACCCCAATTCGGGTCCTGCCCCCAAGGCCTCGGCCAAGGTCCCGGATTCCAGGGCCCGCCCCTCACCCAGCTTGTCCAGCGCAAACTGCACCACGCGCTCGGGCACCTCAGGGGAGGCCATGTCCGCAGCGATATAGAAGATCTTGGGGGCGCCCAGCTTCCGGCAGTTCCCTACCACCTGGGAGGGCCAGAGCTGCCCGTGGGCCCTCCATCCCGGCCGGCCCCCCCCACCTCGCCGGCCCGTGGGGGCCCCCAGCCCGAAGCCCCCTCCCCTACTCTAGGCCTTGGGGTCCATTCCGCCTCATTCCCAAAGCTTTACCACTGGGGTCGCAAACCGGCAGCCTGCGGGCCAGAATAGGGGGCATTTTATTTGCTCAATCACCAAGATTTAAAACTCAGGAGATTTTCAAATAAATCTCGGGATTTCTGGCCTCTCTTGAAATTGTGGAAAGTTTGTCCCCAAGAGCTGTACATTCCCTTGGAGCATCAATGGGCTGTTGCTAAGAAATCTGTACCCACCCTGCTTTTGAGTTTGAGAACCCCGGCTCTCGACAAAGGCTCGACACTATCAATACCCTCGTTTACTGAGGAACAGTCCCTCCTTTATACTCACTATCTTACTGCATCAACCCAACACCATAACCCACGAGAAGGTACTTTTACTGTCTCTGCTTTGCAAATGAGGAAACTAAGGCTCAGAGAGGTTAAGCGACTTGCCCAAGGTCACACAGGAAGCCTGAATCCTTGTCGAGATTCAAACCCAGGCCCCGTTTTCCACCCCACTCCCACTCCCACCTTTAAACTCGAAATGGGGAGTCTCACCTTCTGCAGGAGGGCCTCGGTGTGGGCTGTGAGCACGAGGTGGGAGCCCAGGCGCGCGTAGTGGTAGGCCAGCTCCTCGCCGACGCCTGCACTGGCCCCAGTCAGCAGCACCCGGGCTCCCTGGAGGCTAGCTGGCAGCGAGCAGAGGTGGTCAGCCTCCAGGGGGGACAGGACAGCCCCAGCCCGATCCCCCCCGCCCCCCCGGGCCAGGCACTCACCTGGGTTGAAGTTGTCATCCCAATAATAGGCGAAGAAGAGGGCTCCCAGCCCAGTGAGGAGCAGCACCCTCATGGCCCTCCCGGGTCTGCAGCGGGAGAGAGGGTGGCCCGCACGGGCCTGGCCCACAGGCACCCCCGTCTCCCCAACTTCCATGAGGATGCCCCTGGCCCTGGCCCTGCCTCCTCTTCTCCATCTCCCCAGCCACCACCCAGTCCAGGTCACCGTATAGCTCACCTGAACCACTGTGCCAATCCCCTCCTGTCTTCTAGGGCTTTCTCCCTCCGTGCAGCAACCCAATCACATCTCGCCTCCCCTCGCTGAAAATCCTCCTTGTTTCATTTCAGACAAAAGCCAGACTCCCAGGTGGCCACGGAGGCCCTGCACGGGCCAGCCCCTCTTGCTGACTCTGCTTTCTGCCACACCAGCCTCTTCGTTGTTCCTCAGAAGCAGCCAGTCACCATCTGCCTCAGGGCCTTTGCACTGGCTGTTCCCTTTGCCAGGAATGCTCTTCCGAAATACAGCCCAATAGCCAGCTCTCTCACTTCCTTAAAGTTTCAGCACAAACATGACCTGCTCCGAGGGCGCTTCCCTGGCCTGCTTTTCTAAAGCACCTCCTTTCCTGGACCCCCTCTCTCCCTTACCTCTAGAACTGTCATCTCCTTCTCAGCACTCATCATCACCTGAAATCATCTTGATGAGTGGTCTCCTGTTCACTGTCCCCGTCTCCGCCTAGATTGGCAGCCCCACGAGGGCAGCAAGGACATGGAATCCTGTTTTCTTCACTGTTAGGTCTCCAGCGCCCCAAACTGTGCTGGACACGCAGTCGTGCTCAACAGATAGTAGATGGACACAGACAGATATGAGGAATGGGGGAGGTGACCCCCGGGAGAGCCCAGAAAGGCGACTCTGTCTGGAGACCCTCTGAAGGACACTCCGGGCTGGGGTAGGGACAGGGGGCCCATGTCATCAGAGTTAAGATGTGACTTCAGCTGTGGGGGCGGGTTTACTTGCTCCAGGGAGAGGGCAAAAGAGAAACAGGTCAGGTGCTGAAAGTTCGGGGGGTCAAGGATCTCCCCTACAAAGGGCACAGGCCGATCACATCTTGGGGTTTCTAGGTGGGGCAAACAGGGGGACTTCCCTGGCTCCCGCATCTTCCCATTCTTTCCCTCCCACCCTCTCCTCCAAATGATCTTATGAAAAGAAGCCTGGCGCGCCCGTCTCTGCTCCAGCCCCTTCCAGGCTCCCCACTGCCCCCGATGGAGACCAAGCGCCTCACCCCGGCCCGCAAGGCCCCCTGGCTCCGGTCCCTGTCCCTCTGTCCCTCTGTGTCTTCCCCGACTCCTGTCTATGAATCTTTCAGTTCTCAGGAAAGTGAACTGCTCGCCTTCCCCAGCCAGCCAGCCGTCCCTTCACCGGGGATCGCGCTCCCATCTCTCCTCACTTCCAGGGAAAGCCCGGGAAGGCCCTCCGCTCAAGCCGTCTCCCACCCCCGCCCTGACCCAGCAGCTTCGCAGGGGTCGGATAGGTGGATGGGTGGGTGGATGAATGGATAGATGGATGGACGGACGGACGGATGGACGGACGGATGGATGGATGGATGGACGGATGGACGGATGGACGGACGGACGGACGGACGGACGGATGGACGGGTGGATGGGTGGAGCAGTCGGGCTGCGATGGGGAAGGAACGGGGGAAACCAGATCCTCGCAGAACCCACCAGTCCCCTGACCTCGCCGGGCCTCAGTTTCCCCTCTGGACAAACGGGGCGTGCGACCCAACCGCACACTCACCCACTCGGGCCTCAGTTTCTCCCGCCGTCCAGCGGGGCTGGGGGTCTCGGCCTGCGAGCCAAGTGCGCGCCCCTACGGCCTCCCTCCACGGCCGCTTCCGGTCTGGCCCCCGACCGCGCCCCCTCCCCTAGGGCCTGAATCACGTGACGCCCAGCCCTCCACGGGGGGGCGGGGCCAGACCGCGGCACTCAGCGCCCAGGCGTTGCCGGGCAACAGCCTCCCGCCTAGCTCTCCCCACCAAACAGGGGCTTTTGCCCCGCCCCCGGGAGGAAGCCCCACCCACCGAGCCCGATCACGTGGTTCAGGCCCCGCCCCCTCGCACAATTCCGCTCCCGCGTTGCCGTGACAACCGGCTTCTTCGCACTGTCTCCCTAGGCCCGGTCGCTTAGTCCCCCGCGCGGGCGCGGGTGGACCTCCCGGGCTCCGACATCTTCTTGGGTCACCCTTAGGCCTCACTCCAGACACCAGATTCCTCTCTCCCCTCACGTCCCCAGGGCCGCGTCGGACTACATTTCCCAGGAGCCTCGGCGGCTAGGCTAGACGGCGGGCGCTTCAAGAGGCGCCGCGGACTGCATTTCCCAGACACCTTTGCAGCGCCCGGGCCGTGAAGATTACGCTTCCCAGAGTCCTTTCGCGGTGGGGCCGCAACCCTTCCTGGGGTCTCGGAGCAGCCACGAGACTCCGACTCCCAGAGGTCTTTGCGGTTGACAAGGGCGACTACGCCTCCCAGAGGCCTCTGCGGCGCCGCAACCGGAAGCGGCGGGCGAGTCCAGTGTCCTTGCGTGCCGAGCCGAGTGACCATGGTGCCCCGAGTGTGGTCGCTGATGAGGTGCGTGGGGTCGCCGAGCGGGCCCCGAGCCGCCGAGAAAGTCCACTCCCTCGGGGACGCCCCCTCCGGTTTGCTCCCGACCTGCTCTTCGATTCCCGTAGGGTCTGGTCCCTATGGCCCAAATGGGGAATCTGAGGTTCAGGTGGGGAGGGTCTTCCCGAGGTCGCTTCCTAGCGAGCCCTTGTCCCCCGACTCTATCCGAGACCCCTCCGAGCCTCAGTGACCTGCTCTGTGAAATGGGGGTGCGCGCGCATTTATTGGGAGGTTCCTGCGCGCGCAGAGCGCGTGTGTGAGTGTAGGATGCGACCAGGGCCACGTAGAAACCCCCCAGCTTTCCCGGGGGACGTCCCTCCGGGGGCTGGAAGGCAGAATGTCATGGGTCTGAAGTCTTCCCTGTCCCCTGCTCCCTGCGGGATCATGAGTGCCGCCCTGTCCCTCAGTTTCCGGTTAAATGGGGTGACCAGCCCCGTGTTCTGCACGCTGTCAGTTGAGGGCCGTGCATAGTAGGTCAGACACGCCTCCGGGCCCCCCGGGTGCCCTGTGCTTCCCCTACTCGCCGCCTCGTCCCCAGGGCGCCCGACTCCTCGCCCCCCCGCACCCCCGATGGTGGCCGCCGTGTCCGCTGAGCTGCCGCCGCCCCCTCCCCGCCCGCAGGTTCCTCCTCAAGGGCAGCGTGGCCGGGGTGGCCGTGTACCTGGTGTACGACCAGGAGCTGCTGGGGCCCAGCGAGAAGACGCAGGCGGTCCTGCAGAAGGCCGAGGAGGTGGTGCCCCCCGCCGTGTACGGCTTCAGCCAGTACGTGTGCGACCAGACCGGCCTGAAGGTTCCCCAGGTACCCGGCGATCCGAGCGCTGCCCAGGCTTGGCGGGAGGTGGGGGTGCCAGCTCTGGGGTGGCCCCTCCGGCCCTGCTTGGTGTCCCCTGAATGGGGGCGTGTGCTGCTCTGCCTGCCTCCGGGGTGGCGAGGGTGGGGACGGGCTTCCCTTCACCAGCCCCTTCCCCCCCTCTCTTCCCAGCTCCCAGCGCCCCCCAAGTTTAACTTTCATCTCCGCGACTCCTGGAATTCAGGTAGGCCTGGGGAGTCCCTCTGCCTGGGGGGGCCCCAGACACCCCCGTCTAGCACCCCCACCCTGCTTCCGGGCCGTACCTTTCTACCCTCCCCTTTCTGCTCTGTGCGCCCCCCCCACCCCCCCCGGATCTGAAAGAGGCGCTGGGCTGGAGAGTCGAGGGCGGTGGGAGCAAGACGGAGCCTCCTTTGCGGGCTGGGGCCCCATCGCAGCGCATGCTGTGACCTCAGACCAGGCGAGGCTCTGCCCCTCCTCTGCCTCAGTTTCCCCGTGTCGAATGGACGGAGCTGGCAGTGGCGCCTCTAAGAGTCTTGCAGGGCTAGGGTGTCCCCCGGGGCTGGCCCAACCCCGTGGGCTGAAGGTGCGGGGCCTCCCTCCCTCCCCGCCCACAGGCATCATGACGGTGATGTCGGCTCTGTCGGTGGCTCCCTCCAAGGCCTGCGAGTACTCGAAGGAGGGCTGGCAGTACCTGAAGGAGCGCATCAAGTAGCTGGCAGAGGAGCTGCCTGTCCCTGTCGGGAACAGGGGCAGGGACCGACCTGGGGACTCCAGACGGGGACCCCACTCCGAGGGCAGCTCCCGGCCTTGCCGGCCCAATAAAGGACTTGGGAAGTGTTTCTCCACCGTGTGCTGGCCCCGCGGGGTCTGGGGAGGCCGGGCCGGCGCCCGGGGCACAGGGGCCTGGGCTTCTGGCTCTGGGGGCTCCTCGGGTTCACCCCTGGCATGGGGGTGGGAGCACACGGTTGGCCCCGTGCTCCGTGGACAGTGCTCGGGGCCAGGGTTGGGGGTCTCAGTTCGTGGGGGGCTGAGCCGAGGGTGGGGCCGTCTGGGAGTGGGGGGCTCGGTGGAGTGCGCAGGATTCGTGGCTCCTTTGCCGTCTACACGGCCGGGAGCCCTGCGTGCAGTGATTCTCCGGCCTGCTCGGCTCACAGATCTGCCCGTGTCTCCATGGTCCTGGCCTTCCCTCGTCTGTTGTCCACTCTTGCTCCACCCTCTCCCCACTAGCTGGGGTCCCCAGCCCTCCCAGATGTCCCCTGACCCCCCGCCCCACACTGGCTCAGCTGCCCGGGGACCTGAGTGTGTCTCCCGCGTTGGGCTGGAGCTCTGGGGGGTGGGCCCTCAAGATGCTCCCCCCAGGCCCCCGGCACCGAGCAACAGAGGGGGTCCCCGGTGGTGGGACCTGTGCCCCAGGCAGACGGGGTAGGAGGGGGGCTTGGGGGGAGCCAGAGGCCGGCTCGGGATGCAGCCCCGACAGCAGGCAGCAGGCACAGGTCATGGGCCCTGAGCTGGCGCGGGGTCCTCCATTCCTGAGAGCTCTGGGCTTTATGTCGGTGGGTTTAGCCCCCGAGCCAGGAGTGGGTGGTGGGTGTCACACACAAGGGAAACGGAGACCAGAGGCCAGTGTTTCCTGGGCTCTCCTGGGAGGAGAGGCCGGCGTGCGTCCATCCGTCCAGCCCGAGGGAGGCGTGGGGACAGCGGGAGCTGAGGATGGGCCGCCTGGCCTGGGCGCCACTCTGCTCTTCAGGAACGGTCTCTGGTGGGTCTCCCCTGTCCAGTGTGGCCCCTGTCCTGGCCGGACCCCCGCGGGGGTGGGAGCAGATCTAGGGCGCAGTGGGCCGGGCCCGGGAGCGCCCCTGATCCTCGGGGCTGCGCAGGCGGAAGCTGGCCCAGGGCCTGGCGAGCCGCAGGATGACCCAGCCGGCCTCTCCATCCCGCAGCCCTTCCGGCAGCCCCCGAGGGAGGCGGATCACGGGCCCATTTTACAGATGGGGACACTCACAGGGCCGGGCTCAAAGGCCATTCTGTGCGCCTGGAGTCCGGGGAGGGCTGGCTGAAACCCTCCTGGGCACAGACTGCCAAGCCCAAGCGCCGCACCCCCGCGGACCCCGTCCCGGGCCTTGGAACACAGGAGGGGTCGGGACTCGGGCTGGGAAGCTGGGGCTGGGCCTCACGCCCTCTTCCTGTCACCATCTAACAGAGGGGGAGGCGTGCGAGGGCAACCGGCTGTGCCCTGTGAGCTCCCAGCGGAGCAAAAGGAGGGGACGGTGGCCATTGTAGGCCAGCGAGGCACCACCCCGGGCTGTGCCCGGCCCTCTGGCCCCTCGGCTCCAGGCGGCCGGCCTTGTCCTGCAGCCCCATGTACTTGGCCGTGGACTTGCTCCCTGCCTTCGGGTCTGCTCGTGTCCACCGACTGGCCCTGATCAGAGGAGCGCCCGCGGCACGTGCCCGGATCGGGGTGAGGGGACGCTCGTGGGTCCAGGGACCACTCGGTGGGCGGGAAGGGCTCGGGGAAGTGCATGGCCACGCACAGCGAGGACCAGGAGAGCGGCGGGCCGTCTTAGACGCCGCACGGGCGCCCTCCAGCCTCCTCCCCCTCCGCCCCTCCTGTTCGTGCCAGGTGGCCCCACGACAGCTGGTTTTCACCACCAGCCTCTGCCACGACGTGTGCGAGCTGTCGCCAGGCTAGCCCTCCTCCTAGCTGACGCCTGCTCTGCCTGCCCCCTCCTCCGGGAGGCCTCCACTGACTTCCTGCCACCCGGGCCGAACCCTGTGGGTGCCCCATCACGGCGCCTGCCACCCTGGGGCAGGGTTTCCCCTCCTGCACATCAGACACGGGGCCAGGGAGATGTCTGCGGGGCCGTCCTGGGCACCGCAGGTGTTGAGCAGCATCCCTGCCTGCACCCCTTAGATGCCAGCAGCACCCCGTCAGCCCCGTCACACAGCTGCGAGTGTTCCAGACCCTGCCCCATTTCCTCTGGGCAGTCCTCCCCACTACCCTGTGGCTGCTGCAAAAAATGACCTGATTCGGCCGCTTAAAACACCAGTTTTGGGGACGGCCCAGTGGCGCAGCAGTTAAGTGCGCACGTTCCATTTCAGTGGCCCGGGGTTCATCGGTTCGGATCCTGGGTGTGGACATGGCACTGCTTGGCACGCCATGCTGTGGTAGGCATTCCACATATAAAGTAGAGGAAGATGGGCATGGATGTTAGCTCAGGGCCAGTCTTCCTCAGCAAAAAGAGGAGGATTGGCAGCAGATGTTAGCTCAGGGCTGATCTTCCTAAAAAAAAAAAAAAAGTTTTCTCTCTTGTGGTTCTGGGGTCAGAGGTCCCACGCGGTCTCGCTGGGCTGGCGTCAAGGTGTGGGCAGGGCTGGTTCCTTCTGGAAGCTCCAAGGGGACTGGGTTTCCTGCCTTTTCCAGCTTCTCAAAGCCGCTGCCTTCCTGGGCCCGCGGGCCCTTCATCCTCAAAGCCAGCGGTGCAGGCGTCCTCTCCCGTCCTCTGGTCCCGCCTCCCTATTTCCCTTACAGGGGCCCTGAGATGACATGGGCCACCAGGATGAGCCCAGAGCGGTCCATATGGACAGGTTCCAGGGTGGGGACATCTCTGCCCCGTCGAGTGGGCTTTATTTGGCCGACCAGTCTCCAGGGCTGGTCACGTGTCTGCCTGCCCCCCGCTGTGGGCCCTGGGGGACGGGCTCAGGCCGCCTGGGCCGTGGGTACATCCCCAGCCCCCAGACGGGGCCACACGCCGCTTCAGTGTGTCAGAGACGGGGCCCAGAGCCGAGGCAGGCCTCGCTGCGCCACCTCTTCCGAGCCCCGTCCACAGAGCCGGGACCCCTGGGGGCAGCGCGGCTGAGCCGGGGAGGTGGCACTGCCCGTGGGCACACCTCGGCCCCACACCGCTGTGTGCGACCCACTCAGATGCTGTTCCGTGAGGCCCAGGAGTCACATCCAGAGACAGGAAGTAGGTGGCGGGCCAGGGCTGGGGCTCCGTGTTTCACGGGGACGGTCTGTGTCTGGGAAGGTCAACGGCTGTGGAGACGGACGCTGGAGAAGGCTGTAGGGCATCGTGGACGGGCACGCACAGCCGCTGAATCGTACGCTTAGACAGGGTTACGGCGGCAAAGCTCCCGCTACACAGATTTTCACCACACGGGAAACAGCGTGTTGAGCGGGGTGGGCGCGTCCTGGACGTGCGGCGAGTGTGCGCCTCAGGAACACCTGCGGGGCATCGCAGGGCACCGGTGGCGGAGGGACAGGGTGGCCGCGCGTCGGACCCAGCCGGTCCTGGGAACTCCGCCTGGCTGGCGGGCCGCGAGCTGAGCGCCGTCCGTGGAGGGCTCTGGGGCCTGGCCGTCCCTTACAGCGGCCCCTCCGTCCCCCCGCAGAGGACGACCTGCAGCTCGGCGACGCGAGAGTGACAACGTTTTACTTAAAGAGGCGGAAATAAAGAGACGACGCTGTAAATAAAGGGTATGTGAACAGAAACACGTTTATTACAAAAAACCAAAAAAAAACAGAAAACAAATTCACATTGTATTGAGCTACAATATGGCAGCAGATAAAAAAACGTATTGTACACAGTTGAAGGGGCTCCTAACGGGACGCGCCCCGGCGGCCGCGGGCCAGGTGCTCAGTAGCGGCGGCTGAAGCGGGCATCGCTGGGCCGGCTGCCCCGGTTCTGGCCTCCGAAGCCGCCCTGCATCCCGCCGCGCGGGATCACGTGGCCCCGCGAGGCCCCGCCGGGGGCGAAGCTGCCCCGCCTGGAAGAGAGGAGACCCTGTATCCAGGAGCCCCCTCCCACGCCCCCGTCCCCAAGGGCCCCGCGCAAGCAGCCCGCGCCCGGGGAGGCAGCGCGGAGGCAGACGACTGCCCCGCCACCACGGGCGAGCGTGCGAGGACGGGACTGGGCACAGGAGGGCCGGCTTACCCTGACATCCCGCCGCGGGTCATCATGTGGCCTGGGCCCGAGTGACCAGACATACTTCTCTCGCCACCTGGAACACAAGAGCGCCTGCTCACACAGCGCCGCGAGCTCAGAGGACACGGACACGGGGCCCCGCTCCTCCAGCCCCTGCGGCCGCACAGGCACGGGCACTATGCCACCCGCCGCCCTTGCTGAGCCCTCTTCCGGGCCACACGTCCCTCCCTCCCTCCTTCACCCCCTACCCCAAGCTCGTCAGGGGACCCTCCTGCCAGGCCCCGAGGAGGGGAGAGCATGGCCCTGCCCCCATGAAGCGGGGGACGCCCGGGATGGCGGAGAGCCGCTGCGGCGTGAGCTCTCTAGATGCTTCTCCAGACAGACGAGTCCCGGCCGAGCCAGTCCTCACCTTGCCACCTCTTGTGGTCCCTGTCCATCATGCCTCCGTCGGCGGCGCCCTGCCACGCACGGTCATCCTCTAGCCTCCGGCCGTGGTCCCCCCAGTCCCGTCTGCCCCTTGGAGAAAGGCATCTCTGACTCGGCCTGCCCCCGCCTTCAGCACGGCGCCGGGCGCGGGAGTCTGTGTCCCAGCCCTGTCCCCGCGGGCCGTGGGGGACGGGAACCGGCTCCTGGCCGGATGCTGCTCGGAGCGAACCGGGGCGGGCGCGGGGTCACGGGGCCGGCCCTCGCCGCAGCCCCAGGACCGGGGTCCGCAGCTGGACTCACCGATCCCGCCACCCAGCAGTGGGGTGCGGGACACAAACCTGGGTGGTGGCGGTGGCAGCCCCCGGCCCTCGCTCATCCTCTTGTCGGAGCCGTAGCCGCCCCAGCCGTCCCGGGAGTCCCGGCCGTGGCGCTCGGGCCCGCCGTGGCGCTCGGGGTAATGCTGAGGAGAGAGGCGGAGGGAAGGCAGGCTTCAGCGCGGCCCTGGGCCAGGGCTGCGGGCAAAGGCCGACCACGCCAAGGCCGGCAATTCAGAGCGGAGCGCGCGGCCTTCTGTGCACTGTCTCGCGCCACGGAGGCCATCTCGGCGCGCGCGACACAGCCGCGGCCCCGCAGGATGCTCACGGCCTGCTGAGGCAGAGGCGCAGCAGAGCCGAGGACGGACAAGGCAGTTTCGGGCTGAGGCCCCATATCGGAGGGCCGAGAGTCAGGCCCTGGAGGACTGAGCGGGGCTGGGGCCCAGCGACCCGCCCGCCAAGAAGGGGCCACACTGTGGTGGGTCCCGGCGCCACGATGTGGTCAACAGCACCCGGGCAGCAGAGCAAAAGGGCAGGGGAACCCTTAACATGGCTGCCTCCCGGGCCTGGCAGCCTGTCCTTTTGTTGGGGTCGCAGCGCCTGTGGCACAGCCCACCGCACCCTGTGGTGGCAGTCCCTGTGCAAGGCTGCGTGGCCGGCAGAGCCCCAGGAGGGCCTGGCCATTGGACACATTCCCCGAGGGCAGGATGGGGAGGAGGCGCGGCTGCTTTAACGGCGGCCGCCTCGCCCTCCGCCCAGCCATCCGGTGGGCCGCAGGGACAGACGGACGCCTGTGCTGCCTCTCGGGGAGCTGCCGAGGCGGCTCTGGCTCCACACGCCCACCCCGTGGCCTTGGGGCCTCCCGCCCCAGGACGGCTGCTCGGCTGTCACTGCTGTCCCTGCTCATCTGCCCGAACCAGGGCAGGCCAGCTCTCAGCACCCCAGGCCCTCAGCGCCCCGCGTGTGCCGATCCGACGCCACCCGTCCTCAGAAGGAAAGGGGCCAGTTCCACAGGGGGGACAAAGTCACAAGCACTGGGTCCAGGCAGTCGGGGCTGTCGGACGCAACCTAAGGAGAGCTGCTGATGCGCCCGCCTGGACACCCCGGCGACGGGCTTCTGCACACGGGCCTTTAGCCCCAGCTCGTGACTCAGGCAGCCTCGTCTACCTCTGGACAAGGACCAGCATTTCAGGGGACGGTCTCCTAGCAGCAGCCCCCGTCCAAGGCACACACCCGCTCCAGAGACCGGCTCTGACTGAGCCCACCCCTCCCTGGCACTTTAAAGGCGACAATCCTCTCCAGGCGCCCCGAGCGGCACCCGCCGAGGCCGAAGGCCGTGCACATGCCCCTTGCCAGGCGTTGGCACCCCCGAGAGCAGAAGGAGGAAGGACCCACCCTCTCTGCCCCGGGAGGGCAGTGTCTACACCACAGGAAAAGCGCCACTGACAAGAGCCGAGTGTGAGGAAGGGGCCGCCCTTCCCGCAGAGCCGGACTCATCTCATCTCCCTCGGCCACCCTCTGTGGCCGCGTGACTACCGTCACAGCACCGCTAGGGACAGGCTGGGCGGAGCGGTGGGCCCGGGAGGCAGCCCGGCTCTGACTGCGGAGCCCGCGCATCTAACCCGGGGAGCAACTGCTCCCGCAGAGAGGAGCCGGCACTGGGCCGCGGTTTACGTGAGATCTACCCCGAGCAGGGAAGAGGCTCACGGGAGGGCTGCAGGCTGACTCCGGAGGGCGGGCGTCTGTGCCGGAGGCCGGAAAGGGCACGACCACGGGTGGCAATTCTGCCAGCCACGCCCTGACCCCTTCCCTCAGCCCCATTTCCCACGCGAGCCCCGTAAAGGGGCGAGGCTCTTGGGAGAACGTCTTCTGAGGTGTCAATCCCACAGAGAGAGCGGGGACCAGAGACGGCGCTGCCCTCGCAGGCCCAGCAGGGCGGCTCACCGCGCGCCTGGTGCACGGGGACCACAGCTCGGAAGCGCTGCGCCCCGTGTGGGCCGCGGGAGCCCGTCAGAGCTGCGTGAGGCTCCACAGTGCTTCAGTGCCGTGTGCTGAGTTACTAGGGCACACGGAACCCCGGGGTCAAGGCCAAAGGCGGCTTCGGATCCCTGTCTGGGTTTCCAGCCCAGACCAGGCACAAAGCATCGGGCCACCACTGGGGGCTGCACGTTGCCTTTCGCTCCTTTCCTCGGGCTCAGACGGGAGACCAGGAAGGCGGGTAGCAGGAAGAGCATCAACTCTGAGGAAACTGGCTAGGCTGGAGCCCAACTTACCTGTCCTTCTCTTTCTCCCATCATCGACCTCGAACCTTCTCTCCTGAAAACAAGTGAGAGGAAACTAAGGAGAGGAGGCACAGGCGGTCAGACCCCAAATCAAAACCATTTCCCAGTGGAGCCCACACACTCCGAGGGTCTGGGCGGGCTCGCAGAGCCTTGAAGGCCGACCTTAGTTCTTTGTCGTGAGGGTTGAACCAGGACAAAGAAAGCTTGCACCCGGGGGGCAGGCTGAGGGAACCCTGGCTGACCTGTCAACAGAGTGGTCGGGGTAGCGGCCCCGGTCCCTGTGGTCAAAGTCGTGGAAGCGATCCTGGCGGTTGAAGTCCGAATGGTAGCGCTCGTCCAGGGCGGCCCGCTTGGCTTCCGGCCAGTAGGCATCATCTCGCCTGGAGAGGAAGACAGGACGCAGTGCATTTCTTCCCCAGACACATCACTGGAGGAATGGTGAACTGAACCCCACAACCGGCACCTGCCCGGCCCTTGGGAGAACGAGAGCATCCTCTGCTCCGCCTGCTGACGGGGGTCCCACTGAGCGACTGTGCCCCAGCACAAGGGCTTCGGGCTCCCTCGGGGAACGGCAGGCGTCAGGTCTGCGCATCGCCTCTGGGACCGCACCAGAGGCCACCGAGACGGCCGGCCTCAGTCCAGCCACGTGACACGGGACAGCCGCTGCCCGCGGTCCAGTGCACGCCCGTCCCTTCAGCCCCGACGCCAACTGGACCCGGCAGACAGCCGGGGGGACTTCGAGAAGCACTTGAAACGTAGTTTCAACACATTTCTGACCACAGGGACCCCCAGCGGCAGGGTTTTGGAAAGGGCATGAAAGCCCCACAGCAGCTGAGGGCCCTTACAGAGGCTTCGCTGTGTGTTCCAGGGGCGTCTGACCCACGGGAGAAACAGGATAAAGGCCATCGCGCCTGCCCCAAGTCGCGACACACGGGGAGAAACTCCGACAGCACCGAGTGGGGACCAGTGCCCCACTCCAGCCAGCTTCAGGCCCCGTCTGCGGCCCCGCGCCCCTCAGCGTGGCCAAGGATCAGGACCAACCTCACGACGGGAAGGGGCCAAGCCAGACACAGCCGTGAGGACAAGGCCTGGAGGGGCCCTCGAGGAGGGGTCTGGGTCTCTGGCCCCCCACCCCAGCACTCGTGTGTCCCGAGCTGCTCTGGGTGTCAAGCTCCCTCCTCGGGGTCCATGCTGGGACCCGAACCCAATGGCTTACTCGGCATCCCCAAATCGTCCATTCCTGCCCCAGGGCCCTGCAGCATACAGGACACTGACCCGGGGCGGCGCAGCAGGTGCCGGGGGGCCGAGGGCAGGGCGGGGCAGCGCAGCTTACCGGCCGTCGTCGTAGGGCCTGCGCACGGCCGGCCGTCGCTCCTGCTCGTAGCGCAGCTCCTGCTGGCGCCGCAGCTCCTCGCGCTCGCGGTGGATGCGCTCCTGCTCGCGCCGGCGCTCCTGCTCCACGTGCATGCGCTCGCGCTCCAGCCGCTCCCGCTCCATGCGCTCGCGCTCCAGCCGGTGACGGTGGAAGGCCAGCCTCTCGCGGGCGATCTCCAGCCGCTCGCGCTCCTCCCGCTCCCACTGCGCCTGCAGCCGCTGCTCCCGCTCACTGCGCTCGCGCACCCTGCGGGCCAAGGGCAGCGGCTGCAGCGCGGGGGCCACATCCTCGCCCAGTGGGCTGAGCCTCCCAGACCAAGGCAGAGATGGACTCCAGGGCTGTGCCCGAGCCGCAGGGCCACGCTGGAGCAGGGACAACGAGGGTGGGACCCACCGAGCTCTGGGAAACCACAGCGGGAAGCCCGAACGGCCAGCATGGGCGCTGCTTCCAGCTGAGCCCTCGACCAGCCAACTGGCAAAGAGCAAAGGCAGGGCTGGGTGGATGGGTCTGTGTGTGAGCTATGATATGAACTGAGATGAGATCCTTCTGGCATTCAACATCTGATTCCATGAACAGCCCACTAAACATAAGAAACAGGGCCGGACCCACACTGCTCTGTGGGTGGCCATGCTGTGCTGGTGGCCCACATACTAAAGAACAGAGGATGACTGGCACGGGTGTTAGCTCAGGGCAAATCTTCCTCAGCAAACAAAAGGAAGAAACAGAACTTATTTCTCACTGGGAGTAAGTGTGCATCAGAATCTTTGCTCCCGAAGCCAGGAGCTTCACTTAGTCACCATGAAACGGGGCTGGTGCACTAGAGTCGCCGTCTTTCGACGACACATATAAACTCAGACGAATCTACCAGCCAGCAAGGGCTGCAGCAGCTGAGGGCACGGACAGCTCTGCTTCTGAGAGCCACACTCGTCATGCTGCAGCGCGTTCCCTTCAGTCTGCACGTCACAGAGAAGACAGCGCCAGGCTGTCTCCTGGCTGGCCTCTGCATGCATCTACAGACACATTTGTACCCGCAGGAATTTATCACGTTGCCAGGTTGTGACAAAAATGACTGCAGCCTCCTCAGCTCACGCAGCAAGTCCTGGACCCTTCCACGCCCCTGTGTCTAGAACAGGCTTTCGGGAAGGAGCCCACAGTGGGGAGAGGCCACGGTTTACGGAACCAGCACCCGAGGTGGACCCTCGGCTGTTCCTGACCCTCAAACGGACCCCTGTGCCTGCATTTTCTGGTGTTCCCCTGGGCAGGTCCGGAGAAGCGGCATTTCTGGTCTGGGACATGAGGCTTCAGGCGTGTGCTCCTGTTACCTTCCCTCTGGGCTGCCGTGTGCATGGACACGCTCACTCCAACCACCACACCCGCCCCGGAGTTCAGACGGTGACCGGATCAGCCGACGGGGGAGCCCAATCGGGCGAGGCTCAGCCACTGCCCACGGCCTCCTGGCCACGAGCAGCGCCCTTCCGTGGACTGTCTTCTGTCCATTTCCCTGTCGGCTTATCTTCTCCCTACGACACTGACTTCCGGTCACCTTGATTCCCCTCTGTTGAGCGACCTGGCTCTCTATGGTGCACTGTCCACAAGGTAAACTGAGTCCCTCTCTCCTCCTTTATGACTTTTCAGGCCTTCGCAAGCTCACGTGCAGAGGTATTTCCTTCACGCACGTTCCTTCTCACGTCCCCGATCAGTCATCAGTGTATGCTGACTGCTGGGTCTGTGACGTGAGTGAGCTGCAGACACAAGGACTGTCCAAGGAACAGCCAGATGGCCTGAAGCCCTCGGGGAGAGCGCACCCTTTCGTCACTAGTGGGAAACGGCCTTTACCGTGTTCAGTTCCCACACGCATGTGGGTCACTCCCGCTCATCCAGTGCCAATTACGCCACCAGGAGTGCCCTTCCCTCTGCCTGCCGCCCTGCCCTGGAGGCGGACCGCTCTGGCTGGGGCAGCACCAACCCCGGCGCCTGGGGCCCTTCTCACGCCTACCCCGCCAGGCTTTTTACCCAAGGTTCTTATTTTTCAAACTAGAATTTAAGAACTGTTTCTTGACAAGAAAGATTAACTGTCCCTCGGGTGACCAGTTCCACCTGCGTTTGGTTCTGGAACTGAGGAAGACGTGTCTCCTGGCTGACTAAGGGGGAGGCCTCTCAGCTTAGGGAACGGGTCTGGGATGTCAGCGGACGAGCACCGCCACCGCAGGAGGCACCCCCTCCCCGCTGCCACCTTCCGGATCTTCCGGAGCACAGGGGCCTACTTGCACGAGAAGGCACTGGAACGAGCCCCAGGACGCAGCCAGAGCGCAGCGAGCCTGCGCACCGAGCACCCCCAGGGCCCCGGGCCCGCCCCTGACGCACCTGCGCGACTCCGAGTCTCTCGACTTGCGAGGCTCCTTGACTTTGTCGAAGGACACGACGGAGCGCTTCTCTCTGCTGGCCGACTTGCGGTCCTGGCTCTTGGAGACCTGGATCACCAAGGACAACGAGCAGTTAAAGGAGAAACGACACCAGGTCCAGGTGCGTCCGGGTCCCAGCACCCCACGGGCAGACTGGAAACGAAGGCCGGCGCTCTCTGGACTGGGGGCCACAAGGCGCCCTCTGCGAGACCCCGTGTTTGGCTTATGATTCAAAGTCACAGACCGTCACCATCGTTCAATGCTGAAACATGACCCCTGAACACTCCCGCAGGTCAAGGTGGAAATGAGTATTCCCCTCAGAACTTTTCATAAGATCAAAAAAGTATTTTTTATCCTTTGTCTTTTGCACCCAAGACAAATCCCTTAACCCTGTTCTTTCCTTCAGAATTAAACACGCAGCGGGCGCCCAGCCGCAGCCCCTTCCGGCGTGTCCGAGGACTCCTGATGTGTGTGACTGCAGTATCTTAATGAGATCTACCCATGTTAGCCCCTGAATTACACTTTCATTTTACGATTTTCCAATCACTTTTTATAAAATAAAACTAAGAGGTCACAACATACTAAAACGTCTGCACAAACACAAAGCAGACCGAAAGCTTGTGGAAGTGAAACGCGGGCTTGCAGCTGATCCCCACCATTCAACGGCCTCAATGGTCTGCCCTCTGTGCGGCAGGCCTGAGGCTGGCGCCTCGAACTGGGCACCCAGCGCCCCCGCAGGCAGCTAACTGGTAAGGGTGGTTCGCTGTGCCCATACCACGCAAACTATGGCACACACTGAACACCTGCTTTCCCCGGGAGTCAGGAATTTTGCTCCTCGCACGGCAGAGGGTGCCCCTGTGACCAGCCCCCGGTAGAAACCTGGGGCGCTGCGGCTCCAGTGGGCTCCCTGGACAGAAGCACGGCCCACGTGTTGCTGCATCTCCATTGCTGTGGGAGCCCTCGTGGGAGGGAGAGAACAGAATGGAGCCTGCGCAGGTCCCCCAGACCGCCTGTGTTCGCAGCACTGCGGCCACCTTAGCTGGGAGGACAAGCCCAGCCTGAGCCCAGCGCTCCTACTGGTGAATCGGGGAACATGGGTGGCCTTGGGGACCTCGACCCACAGCTATCAAGGCTGGAAGGTGGTCAAAAGGGGAACATAGGAATGTCAACAGAGGCGCGGGCCCGATGGCAGGCGGAGCGAAGCGCTAAGAACCCGCGACAGGTACTTTGTGGATCCCGCGTTCCTTGGAGCCTCTGCCAGGAGACAGAGTCTGGGACGGGGCCAAGGTGGGGACAGGGCTTAGAGAGGCAGGAAAGGCGGGTGGGTCACACGGGGGTCAGAATGCAGCAAGGAGAGCTGCGGAGACGCCCAAGGCAGGTGAGGAAAGCTCCTGAACTGTCTCGACTGTTTCTAAAGTCCAAGATGCCTATACTTCGAAAAGGCACAGAATTGTTCTCAAATTACACCCGAGAATTCTCTAAAACACACACACACACAGAAATGAGGATGCTGCCGGAGACCCCAGCTAGGAAGCGCACGCACCCTCTCCTTGGATCCCGAGGTTTTGACACTGATGACAGGCACACCCTTAGATTTATCCATCACCACTGTGCGCTCGGTTCCCCGACTTCCTGCAGCAAGGAGGAGGAAGGGTATAAGGTCAGAAACAAGCAACACCTCGCGAGAAAGAAACACTCAGCTCCACGGAGAAGCCAGCCCATGGCGGCCAGGCGGAGGTGCGCCTCCCATGCCCGTCAGGCGGCTTACCTGATTTGGTGGTCCGGGAGCGCTCCGAGGGGCCAGGCTTCTGATCATCCTGATCTTTACTCTTTTCCCCACTTCCGTCTTCGCCCTTTTTAGCATCATCTTTTCTGTCGGCTTTGTCTTCCCTCTTCAGGTTCGCAGATCTATAAACAACACCCCAGGACACACAAGTGTGTTACACGGGATGCTGAGGGCAACGCCACCACAACCGGCCTCTGGCACCGAGCACCACATGGGAGGAGGCCGCCTCGGCTGGCAGCAACGCGACCACTGCTTTTCCCAAGCGCCCCGGAAGAGGGCCTGGAGTGAGAGCTACTAGCGGTGAAATCTTCCGACAAATGCCAAAAAATAAGGGGGGGGGGAGGGGCCTCGCGGTCTTCCCGACCTGTGGGAGCCTGGAGGGTGGGAGGTAAAGCAGAGGCTCACCTTGGCCACAGTCCCCTCGGGGAAGAGCCATACCTGTCACTGTTACTGGACTTCTCCTTTTTCCCCTCACCGTCTCTCTTCTCAGAGGTTTTCTTGCCAGCAGGTTCGTTTTTCGCCTGAAAGAAGAGAGCCGAGTGGAAGGAGCCCCTCCTTCCTGGGCCGGGCTGGCCCCCGGAAGACAGCGGGCGGCCCTTACTTTCTCCACGGAGATCATCTTCCCGTGGAGCTCTGTTTTGTGCAGGTGGCTGATGCACTTGGTGGCCTCTTCTGCTGTGGACATGGTGACGAAGCCGTAGCAGCGAGCCCCAGGACTCCGGGCGTTCGTCACGACCTTGGCGCCCACCACCTCGAAGGAAAGCGCACGATGGCTCAGACACGAAGCCGCACCCGGACCCCGGCGTTCACTGCTGGAGATGCGCAGGCCGCCCTCCCCGACGCAGCCCACGTGCCGGTCGGTGCTCTCCTCCCGGGGAGAGGATGCACGAGAAACCCTGGCACCAGGTGCCCGACATGCAGCAGAAGAGGACAGGGGAGGGCGATGCTGCTGTCTTGCGGCCACCACTCCAGGGCCCTCCCCCAGGTCCCTCTAGGGCCAGGACAGCAGGTGTGGGGTAGAGAAGAGAGGATCGGAAGGCTGAGGCTCCTGGCCTTCCTTCAACGTGAGCGCTCGTGAAGAAACGGTTCAGAACACACAGGCACGCCACGTGGGCAGTAAAGCCGAGGGCACGTCTACAGCTCCAGCCTGGCCTGAGCACAGGTTCATGAGGAGCACTGGAACGCAGGACCCATCCCACTGTTGACAGTGTCAACCCCCACTGGGATGGCTCAGGTGCTCCAGCGCTCCACGCGCAGCCTTGAGAAGCGTCTTAATCCCTGACGCCAGCAGGCTGAAGGCACCATGGCGCAGGAGTCCCACAGGAACCAACAGGCATCCTCACTGTGCCACACGGGGTCTGAGACCCAAAGGAAGGCTTCCGAGTGGCCAGGTCCCCCACTGAGCCCACAGTAAGCCCCCAAGCCCCCTAGCCCCTGCAGGCGCCGGGCGCCACTTCCCTGCAGAAAGCACCCACGGGCCACCGGGCACGACTGAGACCAGGGAGTTGTCAGGCACGTCTGTAACTGTGTCGTGCTCAGTGTTCCTCTTGTCCGTCCTTGGACATCGATAACCAAGGGAAATACTGCTGGTTTTCTCTACCATGACTTGCTGAACCCTTCCTATGACCAGGGAGGGGCCGTGCTGGCTCTCCCTCTGGCTGGCCCCAAAGCTGGCTCTGAGGGACAGACCCCGGGTGCAGGAGTTTACTTGGGAGGCGAGTCCCAGAGGCCCAGGGAGGAGGGGAGGGTGAGACAGAGAAGGGAGGGAAGCCAACACAAGTGCCCTAACCAACAGGGAACTGCAGCGGGCACGGGAGGGAGTGAGGAGGGCGCCAGGGCAGGTTCTGCCGAGGAGAGGCGGCCCCAGCTGTGGGGGAAAGCGGGTGAGCTGAGGGCCCAGCGAGGGGCAGCAATGCTGTTACGACTACACACCACTCAAGGAGGCAGCAGCTCTGAGGGCCCCAGGCGCAGGGATGACGTCCAGACGGTGAGTGGCACGCCCTGGGTCACACGACCGTGAGCAGTAGAGCGAGGACTGGCAGCTGCCCACTGGTCTGATGCCAGAGGCCCTGTTCATAGCCCCTGTCCCCAGCCTCACCAGTGTCCCTCCGTCATCACCACGGTCTCACGGAAGCGCACATCCCGGCCCTGCCCTTTCCCGCCAGCCCTGCAGCCCTCCCAGGGTCTGTCCTGAAGCCAGAGATGCACTCAGGAGACCCTATCAAGTCTAAGTGGTGCCTTGGGGCTGGGGCAGGGGGACAAATATAAAGCAGACGTGGCCCTGGGAGCTTCCACAGGCCTCTCACCGCCACCCACGCAGGGGCAGACCCTGCACAGCCCATGAGCAAAGGTGAGCTCCAACAGCACGGCGTGAAAGCACGCACGAGCGGGGAGCACGGCCTGCACGCCCAGGCCGCACGCCAGCGGCGTTCGAGCCCCCTCTCCAGGGAGCCCCCGTCTTACCTTCCCATATTTGCTGAACAGGTTCTTCAAATCTGTAGCTCTGGTGGTAGAAGAAAGTCCACTAACCCAGAAATTTCTACCACAACTGCTACGACCTATTTCAAACGAAAGTTCTCATCAAAAACACGACACCCACAAGACCCTGACTCCTACAGGGGAAGGCCATTCCAGACCAGACGCCTGCCCGCCTTGTTCCCAGATGCCAGCAGCATCCAAAGCCAGTGGGGTGGGGGCCAGGCCGGCTGTCCTCACGACGGCCAGCAGTGTCTCAATTAGTCATTTTAGTAAAAGGTTAAGCTGTGGGTAAATCTGGAATACCAGACAACCCCAGGATATCTGAAACCAGAAGCCTTTCTCCATTTGCAAGTGTCACTGAGGCCAAGAGACCTGCAAATAACAGGAGGGTCAGGCCGGCTTGCTGGGCTCAAGTGCTCTGGCCAAAGCAACGTCCGCACCAGGCCGATGCACGGACTCGGGGACGGGCTTCTCCCCAGGACCCAGGGCCCGCAGAGCCCTCGCAGAGGGCGGAGAAAGGCTCGTGAAAGCTCACAGGCCGATCTGGGCGAAGGAGACAGCCGCCCGGCCGCTGCCGAGGCCGAATGCGCCCCAGGGGACGGGGGTGGCTGCAGTGACCTACCCTTTTCCTCTTTGGAAAGCCTCTTTGTGTCCGAGTCATCTTCGACAGAACTAGAGACAAAAGATAATGTCACTCCAGGAGGAAGCAGCAGAGAGGAAACAAACTCAAAATTATCAAACACGTGCTGAGGTTGCATACCTACCCGAAATTTAGTTCTGAAAAAATGACACCCCGACAAACTGGCATTGGAAATCTGACCTAACCATAAGATCTCAGACCCACAGGAGTTAATTAATTCTGCTGGGCTAAAGATAATTAGGAAGAATTAAAGAAAACAACCATGATAGGTTGAGAAAAGAAAAAAGATTATGTAATCAGCTTAAAATAAACAAAGAGAAATCAAACATTCTTTAGCAGTAAACTAGTGTCATCAGTCTGGCTGGCCAATGGCAGGACAACAGCTTATGCGTGTCATTAAACGACCCATGAAAAGGAGATAGCGTCTGGTCTAAAACTGAGAAAAAACAAACCTCATTTTCTGATCAGCGCCCTCACTGGCTGAGGACTCTTTAGGAGCCGGAGGGACTTCATTACAAGCTTCAAAAGCAAGCTTCGGCCCGTCTTCGTGGCTATCCCCGGGCTCGGGGCTCGAGGCTTCCGGGGGCGCTTCCGCGGCCTCCTCGCTACAGGCTCCCGCGGGCTCGCAGGCTCCCCTGCTCTGCTCCGCTCGCTGCTCTAGCCCTACAGGCTCGCAGTCCGTCCGCGCGCCAGCGCCCGGCTCCTCCGCCGGCTCCCTTTTCACTACCGCTAACAGGCTGTCTGCCTGGCTCGCCTGAGCCTGGCCCGGGGACTCGCCGGCCACATCTAAAGCACCCTCCTCCGGGTGGCCGCTGCCAAAAAGGTCCTCTTCCTCCGCAAGCTTTCTGTCTGGCCCCACGCTACTTGTATCCTGGGCAAATGGCTGCTCCAGCTCGGGACCTTCTTCTTTTACTGGCTCAGATTTACAAGTTTCCCCCAAAATGTCGAGTATTTTCTCATTTTCTACGGATTTAACAGGAATAGAATGGCACAAGGTTTAATTACCAGGGAAATAAAGCAATCACAAATGCGGCACGGGCACGGCGGCCACACTAACACGAAGAGAAGAGCTAGCTACACAGAGATTGGAAAACCCGCGGGGACACACACTCACACCGGGTACACTACCTGCGCTGCGACCACCGCTAGGCAAGCCTCTACGCTACAGGGAAGAGAAAAGCATCCCCGAGAGTTAACCCCCAACCTTCTGGCTGCTTCTTGACAGTCTTCATTCTGTCGTCGTTTACACATGACTCTTCCAAATTTAGCTTCCAAAGTCCAAGTTGCTTAACTGAACGTATCACCATTCACTGACAGCTCAATTTCCAAATTTCTTTGCATTTCTTTTAACAGAACAGTCCAACATGAAAACCAGACTCTCTTCCTTCGGTGCTCTGAGATATTTGCAGTCCAGACAGTGAATAGCATTGGTTTGGAATTCTCGTGAAGACACTCTTTCCTCTTCCGGAATCCAGTTCCGTCTCAGTGTTTCACGGGCGTCTCCCTACCGCTACCTGCGCTGCCTGATTCAACACCACCAAGCTAGATACCGCCCGATATCACAAGATCTGCTGCGTGGGAGGTGCCGGCTCTCAAGAGGCGTGCACACTCACTCTGCGGACGTTTGAGTGCCGTTTCCACTGAAACAGGCACGAGAGTTTCATTTTGCAAACTGCGAATTGGCCACTTTCACAGATCTGGTGATATGGCTGGGTTTCCAATCTCTATGATCCTGGATGTTTTGGATCGTAAACCTTTAGAACAACGAACACTACAGTAAGGCAACTTTTTAAAATTAAAGGCTTCAAATCAGAGAAGGTGGGAACTAGGATGGTTCAAACCCCGCTGCTAAGGTTTTCATGTAACAGTACCTGGCTCCAAGGAGGGCTCCTCAAGTTCCTGCAACGAAAAGCAGAAGTGAGACCGTGCCAGACCCATGACACCTACGGGTTAGTAACACTAAGAACTGCAATGACTAGAAAGGGAGCGTTTCAAAGGCAGACCCGGACACTCAAAGGCAACAGGCGGAGGCCCTGCCAGTTTGAGGGAAGAGCCCGCAGGCCGGCATCCGCCTCGGGCACCCGGGCCCAGGCCCCGCATTCCAGGCTACTCTCCAGGGCCTGGGCCTCGCCTCCAGTTTTGCTGTCCCCAGCCTGGCCACGCCATCCCTTCCATGGCGATGAACGGATCACATGCTTGTCTGTTCCTCTAGACTGAACTCTTACACGCAAGGGGAGACGTGCTCTCATCTTTCTACTTACACATCAGACAATCGTTTTATCCTGTAACTCATGTAGTTTCTGAAAACTCAAGAGCCTGAGGGGACATGGGCACTGGTGGTGCGGCCCCTGTCCCTGTTGGCGTGGTCATGCCATCCTTGCCCAGCTGTGCTCCCCAGGATGACACAGTCCTCTTCCTCCTCCCTTCCCGTCAGTGGCCCCACTAGGCCAGCTCTAAACTCCCAAAGGTCCCTCACGCCCTCTCCTGGAGGGCCTGTCAATTCAGATCACGCTGTTCCTCGCCTAGCAGGACGTCTGGTTTTACTGCCCCCATGGCCGTGAGTGCACTTTGCTGCCATGGTGAGCACTCGGCCCCCGGTGGCCTAAGGCTTTCAGCAGCGGGCCCCGCCACCTCCTCCCCCACAGGCCCATCAGGACCCTGCCCTCCAGAGTCTCAGTATTTGGCTCAGGGCCTGTTTCCTCATAGAAAGGCTTCTCCTCATGGCTCCGGTGGCTGCCCCACTGAGGAAGGGCCTCTCTCAATCTGTGGTCCCCGGCCCTAGGCTCCCTCTGCTCAAGACACATTCTTCTGGAATTCCAGCCCACACTGGTGGGCGCTGACGAGGTTCTAGGCACAGATTTAAGCACCTTACGTATAAATATATTAATCACACAGCCCTAGCAAGTTAGTGCTATTAGTGTCACCCTTCTTTTCGCAGGTTAGGAGACTGGCACAGGGTGGCTGACTGACTTGCTCGAGGACACACAGCAGAGCTAAGATGTCAGCAAAGGCTGCGTGACTGGGAGCCCGCATCGGTCCAGGCCTCTCCCGGCACCGTGTGCGTGGGGAAGATGAGCCCTGTGAGGGTGGAGGCCATCCTTTCTTCTCATCCATCTCTGTAGCCACAACTCGCGCCACAGCTGCTTAACGTACACCCGTAAACGGACGGGAGCAGCCTGGCCTGCCACTGGGCACGGACCTGCCGCTGTGGGAAACCCTCGGAAACTGCTCACTTTCCCTACAGTTTCATTTGTAATCATTTTTTTTTCATGTGACATACGAGCTGAGAATTAAGATTCTCTGACTAAAGGAAAGGATCATTGCAGGCAGAACAATTCTCTGCTTAACTTTCCCCAGAGAGAAACCAATATATTCCTATTTGTCTCCAGGAGTGGTTATGTATTTTCCATGTCAACGTGGAGTCTTTGACCTAGAAAGACATTCGAGAAAATGCCAAGCCTCGGCTCCTGCTCTCCCTTCTGAGTCGGGAATGGCCTTGTGTCACCTCACGTGGGAAAGAGACATCAGCCCTCATGGTGAGCTGAGCTCCGGCAAGCTCTCCTAACGTTTGCAGGCTGCTCGAGGCTGGGGCTCTGGCTTGCCGGTAATCAACCGTGTCCCTGCCCGGCAGGAGCCACTGGAAATCCTGCCTGCACGGGGCCTGCTAACTAAGCAACACAGGTGACGTTACTGAAAACAAAGCGAGACCGGCCTAAGCTGACTGTATTCCCATCTCCTCACAACACTTTCCGAGGAAGATGAGACAGCCACCCAGGCTGGTTTATTCCAACAGCTCACACCTAAGGAGGCCGGCAGAAACCTTCAAAGGGAACTCAAGACCCACATTTGGGCAGCTCGTACCTGAGCGTTAGTCCACATCCCACTAAGAGTTAACATCCACCCATGGCAACGGAACAGCCAAGACGAGACAGTCATCAAAAGAAACCTCTGCACCCTCTGCGGGAAGAACTTCCAAGGCCAGGGCAGAACCCCCGAGAGGCCCCAGCCGTTCTGTCACTGCGCTGGGCCCCCGCCCCGCACCCTTGTCTCTGCCCCATCCAGCTGTCTGGGTAGAGGCGCCCTGCCCCCACTGTCCCATCTAATCGCCCTTCTGCAGAGGATGCCACCCAGAACTGACGAGAGGTGCTCCCCGCCGCCCTGCTCGCGGCTGCAGCTGAGCTGCGGCGCCCGGGGAGGCCGAGACGCCACAGGCGCGCTCCACCTGGCGGAGTGGACAGGAAGATCCCTCTCAACGGGGCCGCGGAGTAAACCAACCTGGCAGCGGCTTCCAGGTGGGGGGGCCGCACAATGTCAGAAGCGGTTTCCAGATACGCAGTCTACCCCTGGACTCTAACATGATTGAGACACAACAATTTACCTGCAATATAGTGAAGTCAGACGATGAAGTATCTAAATTGTTAACAGTTTCCTTGTCCTCTACCTGCAAAATAAGTGGAGAACAGTGTTACCACGGCAACAGGAAGGGAACGTGACGGTACTTGCATACGGTGACAAGGAACAGCCATGAAAATTCACTTATGACAACATTCCAAACAGTGCGATTGCATGCTGAGCGAGGGGCACGCTGTACGTCAAGGCGCACCTGCAGACAGAGCAGGGCACCCGCGAGAACGGCAGCAGCGTGGGCTTCAGGAGGCAAGGCAACCACGAAAAACGTCTCCGCCGAGCAGGAGACAGACCACAAGCGGGCGCCCCACAGCCGGGCCAAGCAGACCGAGCACGGGGTGGGGACCACTCCTTGGGGCCCAGCGGCCAGAGTCAGGCTGCGGAGGGGTTCTCCAATCTTCGTGGCCGCCATCCCTGCCCACAGCCCGGATGCTACCGCTGCCCCTGAGCGGGCCGCCGCCCAGACCGGACTGGCATCTCTGAGAACCCTCCTCCCGGCGCCATCGACTTCCAAACTCGAGTGTGGGGGCGAGCCATCCACGCCCTCTGCGGTGGAAGAGGCACTGGTGTGCGGAGCTTCCACTCTGAGAGGTCCAGAAAACCGTTTATGACCCAAAATAACTGTGACCATTTGCCACAAAGCCCTGAACATTACTACACTGTTCCGGAGGGGGTGTGTTTCTCAAATACTGCACGCCGAGCATGCGCCGTTACTGCCGTCACTTGACAGCAGACCAGCACGCCTTCCTCCCCGATCGAGCACTCCACACGTTCCGTGCACGCTCAGGGCGCACACGCGTGTGTCGAGGACACCTCCCTCCCCTGTGCACGGCCCCGGAGCCCGTTCGGGTCCTGTGCGTCTCCTCGCTTCTCCGGGACGGTTACGCAGCAGCAGTAACCGTACTCCTGGCAGGAACGGCAGGCCTCGCGGTAATGGCAGCAACAGCCCCGCAGGGCCTGCGATGCGCCAGGCAGCGCTCTGAGCCAGGGTCAGCCAGCCACTGCCATCGAGAGCCAGAGACGGGCTCCTTCAGGCTGGGCAGGCCAGAAGGTCTGTCACAGGTATTCTACTCTGCTGCTGTGGCGACAAGTCAGCCGCAGACAACTGTCAGATTCGTGTGGCTGTGTTCCGGTAAAGCTTTGGCCAGGGCGATGACTTTTGCTCTAAGCTAGTGATGAATATTCATCTATTTAATCCTCTCCAAACTTACTATTTTTACAAATGAGGTCCAGAGAGGTTAAGTAACGTGCCCAAAGTCACACAGCAAGTTAAGTGGCAGGCCTCTAGTCAATGCTCTTAACTCTTAACTGACATTATGCCTACTAAGTCATAGTTACTTAACCATTATTGATAGATATTCAGGATGTTTCCAGGCTTTTGCTACCATTTGTATTATTTTCTAATCAGAGGGGGAAAAAGCCTTGAAGAGAAACCAGCAGCTAAGGAAGGGGGTGTACTTCCAGTCACAGCTCCCATGTTCTGGTGCGACTTTTCAGGAAGCCAATGAATAACTCATCGAAACCTAAACCATCACATACCCCATCTGTGTCAAAACGACTCTCAGCTACTTCTCAAAACCAGCCCCGCTCACTCAAAGATGACGACCTGCTCCCTCTGAGGATCCTGAGCGTCAGTTCCCAGAGAAAACGCAAGAACACTGTGCGGCCCAGCTGGGCAAACAGGGCCTCCATGAGGACTGGCGCCCCCCAGCACCCAGCACCCAGGATCCGACAGCAACGCCGCACGCCGCTCATCTTCACTGACTAGTCTTCCTTCCTTTTTTTTTTTAAAGATTGGCATCTGCGCTAACATCTGTTACCAATTTTTCCCCCTTCTTCTCCCCAAAGCCCCACAGTACACAGCTGTATGCTGTAGCTGTGGTTCTACTGCTTGCGGCATGTGGGATGCCGCCTCAATACGGCCTGATGAGCGGTGCCATGTCCACGCCCGGGATCCGAACCGGTGAAACCCTGGGCCGCAGAAGCGGAGTGCGAACTTAACCCTTCGGCCACGGGGCGGCCCCCTCACTGCCTTGCCTGTCTCCCTGACAAACGCGCAGCCGCACAGAAACGAGATCATCTAACGAATGGATGGCACGGTTAAGTCCACGGCCTCGATCAGCCTGCTCTCAATTCTCACTGTCTTCCGAGCTGTGTGCTGCCTGCAGATCTTTCTTCACCTCTTTCCTGCCCAGCGTCCTCAACTGGAGAATGGGCACAACAGCACCGAGCTGTCACACTGCTGTTAAAAGCATCACAGACGTGCTGCCCGACGCCTGGCAAACGGGTCGATAAGCAACACCCTTTCTGACTGCAGTACCATCTGAAACGACGTCAAAGCTTAGGGCCGGAGGCTGCCTGCTGGGAGGGTCCCGATTGGCTCTGACCAGGAAAAGACCAACCTCAATCTCTGTGTGTCTCGGTCCTTCCAAGGCATTCCAGCCCCAGCAGCTCAGCCCAACCTCCTGGGACACGAAGGGCTTGACCAGCGCCCCCGAAATGTCCACTGCTGCATCGCGCAGAGGGCAGCACGAGCCACCCCGTTCCAACGAAGCAAAGCGTGTCCTCAGCATTGTCTGACCCGCACGCAAACATTCAGCCATCAGCCACCGCCTGGCACTATGTCACGCGGTGCGCGAGGAACCGCCGCCGCAGGGCGCGGCCGAGTTACCTACAGCGGGCTCCGGCAGCGGCTCGGGCAGCTCCTTCATCTCCCCCTCGCCCGGCTCTCGGCCGTCGGCCAGGGACTCCGGGAGGGTGTCGGCCTCGTCGTCCTCCACGCAGTCGGCAACGCTGCCGTTATCGATCTCCGCCTCGTCCAGCACGCTGATGTCCATCATGTCGATGTCCTGCAAGTTCTCCAAGCTCGTTTCAACATCCTCCTGCCGCACAACGAAACGCAACCATCACCGGCCTGCCAGCGGCCCACCCGCCACGCGCGCTCGCTGAGGCTGCACGTACCTGGCCATCCCCAGAATTTTCCTCCAGCCCGTTGTCCTCCACACCCTCTTCCTCTGGTTTACGCCCTGAAGAGACAATCGTTTCCGGCATGAGAACAAGGATAGGCGTTTCCAGAAGCGGTAACTGTGACCTGTACAGGCCCCAAGCACCACTGAAGGGGACACCTACCACACCCACGGCACCCCCAGTTCAGGGCCACTGCACTCCAGGAACGCTAAGGCCACTGTGGACAAAGCCGGCCCTCCCGCCCCAAGCAGCAGGGGTTCTGTCCTTTCCACCCGGCCGTGCAAGTACGGGCGCGGCAAGGGAGGCCGCAGCAAGGCCGAGGGAGAGGGGAACCGTTTCCAGGCCTGGCCTGTGCGCCACGTGGCTCCGGCTGTGGGAGAAGACTCTCACACAGACGCGCTGCCTGCCAGGTAAGGCACATGGAGCAAGTCTCCCCACAGAAACAATCACACAAGGCAAAACACAAATGAGCAAAGAGAAAATAAAAGCCGTTTATAACCACCACCTAGAGTCAGCCCCCGTGTTATGATATATTTACATCTAGATACCTTCCCATATTTTGCTGCATATACACACATTCGATGCTTACAGAAACGGCACTGTGCTCTCACCCCATGGTCTTCCCACTTCACACACTGTACACAGACGTCTCTATTAACAGCACTATCTGGAGATACTATCAGCGATCTGACTACGGCTGGAAATGGAAGGAAATGCTTATAAAGAGGAACATCTTGGTAATTCTTTGCACACAGGCAATTATCATTTTAGGACACATTTCTAGAAAGAGCATCCCCAAGACAAAGAGTACGTATTTTTCTTTGAGAAAGATTAGCCCTGAGCTAACATCTGGCACCAATCCTCTCTTTCTTCTGAGGAAGACTGGCCCTGAGCTCACATCCGTGCCCATCTTCCTCTACCCTCTATGTAGGACGCTGCCACAGCACGGCCTGCCAAGTGGTGCATAGGCCCACCCAGGGGATCTGAACCGGTGAACCCCGGGCCCCTGAAGCAGAACGTGCAAACTTAACTGCCGCACCACCCGGCTGGCCCCAAAAGTACATACATTTTTAAGACTTTGATTAAAAAGAAAAAAAGCCCCCACATATTATCAAGATGCCCCAGAGCAAGGCTGTTCCCATTCACACAGTTCCACCAAAAGTGAATGAAAGTGCCAACCTTTCTGAATCTCTGTTACAATAAGCTATTTTTCTTCGCCTCTGCCAATGTGCTAGGCAAAAAGGACTACTTGTTTCAGCAGAAACTTATCTGATTGCTGCTTAGGCTCAATTTTTGGTTGTTGATCATTTGTAGCTTTGTAAAAATTTCTCATTTATATCTTTTCTCTATTTAAAAACTTCTGTTCCATTTCTCCTCGTTTTTTATTTGCGTGTCATAGACACCATGCATCTTTTCTCCCAGTTCTTCGCCAATCTCTTAATTTTACTTACGGGTTTTGGGTAAATTTCACTTTCATGTAGCCAAAACCATGAGTTGGTTTTTCTGTGTAAACGATGTTTTCTTTTTCTTTGCCTTCACGTTTAAATGCCCTTCTCCACGCTAAGACCACACACGTTTCCACCTGTACTTCGTTCTCTTTTGGTTTTCATTTTAACATTCACCTCTTTTCAGCGTTGTGCTGAGACTCTTCCAAATGGCTGTCCCGCTGGGAAACTGCTTTCCCAACGCCAGCTACTAAGCTTTTCTGCGCACGATCTGAATGTGGGTCCCACTCACCGTGACAGTCTCATGTCCGCCTGGGACTAGTTAACCTCTCCATTCTCTCCCACTCGTCGGTTATTCTTGTTCCAGTTTTAATTATGTGGCATTATAACATTTTAAAAAATATGAAGTATCGAGATTAACTCGAAAAAGAAAACAAAGTGACCTGGAAGGAGTGGCTTAACTTCAGTTGTTTCTTCACCTGAGGTCAGTAATTTAAGGGTAAGAAAAAATGAACATTAAGAGGCTGGACACATTTTTAGGCTCAAATTTCACCTTTTAGGTAACTGACTCTGCGCTTTGAAAAATGAGGAAACCACTTCCCTTAACTCCCCTCACCCACCCTCTGAACTGTCCTCACTGTTGTTATTTTCTAACAGTCACGACCTGTTCTGGAGCCGACAGCTCAGGGGGCAGGCCTGCTGGCACTTTCATCCCGAGAGCAGTGTATATGGGTCACCGGCCTTATTTTTTATACTAACGCTAACATGAGTAAAATACAGAAAAATGTAAATAATGATAACAAGGATGACAAAGCTAAAAGTAAAATGGAGAAGAGGCACGGCAGAAATGAAACGTGGGGTCTCGAGAGCAGGCTCGCCTCCTTCCAGCGTGAGGAGCGCGAGCACGCGCATGAGCCAGAGCAGGACCGCGTGGCGGGCAGGCCTCGAGCAGAGCGCGGTGCCATCAGGATGCGCCTTGCAGCTGCTGCCAGGGCCACAGCGGCCACGGCTCCCAAGCACATGGTGGCGCTCGGCTCACCAGGACACGGGCAGCGCCGCTGACCAGCCACGCACTCGCGAGCACTGCAGGCGTCTGCCCACGTGCAGCCAGTTCCTCAAGGCCACTAAGTGCTGCTTCTGTTGCGTAAGGGAGCCAGACGTTAATTTCCCTTGTTGAATGATTTAGTCTCTAACTTTATGAAATGTGTAACATTCAGAACAACAAAAAAAGCAAAAACCAAAAATCCCAAATCTAACTTATATCACAACTGAGGCTTTAAAACACCCCCTCTCAGAGTACGAATTTCCTTACACCGCGCGTTGCGAGACTTTTCCACATTCTCGTTTCATTCGGGTTTTCAGGAACGTCTGACTGAGGAACACAGGGCATCGTCACGCCAACACTAGAATTCCGTGCACTGTGTGCAAATCGCCGTGCTGTGGGCCGGGAAACCCACTGCCAGAGCACGACATTCCTACAGCAAAACGTGCTTTGGGCTTCCAAACCCTCTGGGAGTCGACCCAGCGCGCTCTGTAAACACGCCAGGGAGACGCAGCAGCAGAATCCCCCACATAGATCATACTCGCTGAAGCTGCTAGCCCTCCAAATGTGCGCGCTGGTTTCGGTCCCATGCTGTTCCAGCTTCTAGGGAAGACCTCAGGAGGTTACCACAAGCTGCCAGCCCTCACAGGGAATCCCCCCTCACAAGAAAGGCCCAGAGCCCAGCCAGCAGAGCCAGGGGCCCACCTTCCAGCCCACTTCTCTCCCGAGCAGCAGCACAGACACAGCGCAGCCCAAAGCTCTTCGGGGCGGCCCCTCCAGGCAAGAAACGATCAGAAACGTCAAGAAAACATGAGGTCTTAAGAACATCTGGCCTTCAATACAGAAAGCACAGCCCCGGCCGGGATGCTAACCAACCATCCTTACTGGGGAGAGACACCCTACCCTCCAGAGATGAGAAAGTACGTGAATGAGAACTCCCACCCCCTCTCGGGCACACACTGAAGCGCCGTCGGCTCCAGCACCAGGAGTCGGCAGCAGCCCCCGACCCCGGGCAGCGCTTGCTCCTGCTGCTGCAAGCCTGTCTCCTCCCCGCGAAGCCTCCGCCTCAGCCCTCTGTCTCAGGCCACCTCCCCGCTTCTGCTTCTCCCCGGCGGCCCACGCATGGGTAGGTCATTACTTTGTTAAATTTCATCACTACACAAATGATTCACAAAATTGTCCAAATACACTTGCTAAAAGAGTCAAACTCATTTTACTCTAAGTTTTATTTCACGAATGGCTTCACCCTCATAAACACGTAAAAAAAGCCCATCTCCCTTCTTCCCACGGTACCTGTGAGAGGTAGGCATTGCTATGAGCTGGGTGGTTCTTCCAAAGGTTTCCTCGGGCATTTATATACATACATTCCACAAACGGGAAGAAACCTGCCGTGTAACGGGGTCACAGCATGTGCACCTGCTGCAACGTGCCGCTGTTCCCCAATCACAGGCTGGGACTTGCCTGCACTCTCCAGTCACGTGCTGCCTAGTGATGGAAATGTGTTCTGAGAAGCGTGCCAGGCAGTTTCGTTGTGCAACCGTCGAGTGTGCTTACACACCTAGGTGACACAGCCTACCACGCACCTGGGCCATACAATGTGACGGGACCCCGGCGCACACGCAGTCCACCACGGATCGAGACATCGTTACACAGCGCATGAGCGCACGCGGGGCCGCCTCCTCCTCATCGCACACGATGGACGTCCCTAGTTGAGTGACCCCCGAGGCTGGACACACTCACCATCTCCGCAACCGCCCACCCCCTCACATCCGTGCCACGTGGGGTACTAAGAGCTACGCAAATTCTCACCAGTATCACAGGCAAAAACGCCATCTCATTTTTATTTGCTTTCCTTAATTATTAGCGAGGGAATCTTTCTTGCACACAGGTCATGTTTGGTTTTTCTTTTATCTGTGAACTGCCTGTTCATAGTCCCCGCTCTTTGTCACCTGGACTGTCTATTTTCCGTATTGATCCGTAGGAACGCTTACTGCTTCCTGGACACCCACACGCTGTAGTATTTTCCCCCGGTTTGCTATGCGTCTTAAGTGTTTATAGTGTCTTCTTAGAAGGTTTACACCTTCCATGTAGCTAAATTTCTTTCTCCTTATAGTTCTCAGTTTAGTCTCATTTAGGTTTTCCTTATCACTCTTTTATTTTAGTTTTTTTTAAAGGTTTTTTAAAATTTTTTTTTCCTTTTTCTCCCCAAAGCCCCCAGTACATAATTGTATATTCTTCGTTCTGGGTCCTTCTAGTGGTGGCATGTGGGATGCTGCCTCAGCGTGGTTTGATGAGTGGTGCCATGTCCGCGCCCAGGATCCGAACCAATGAAACACTGGGCCGCCTGCAGCAGAGCGCACAAACTTAACCACTCGGCCACGGGGCCGGCCCCATCACTCTATTTTAAAAGTACTCTCCTAGCAGAATTTCTCTTTTGCATGGAAGGCCATGAAAACAGAGCCTTTTCCTACATCAGATAGACAGCCAACGGTTCCAACATGGTTTACTGAAAAATCTTTAGTGGTACCTTTAAAAACAAACAAATCCTCAAACGTTCCGCTGTTTCCAATATCCTACCCTTAAAATTAGAGCAAGCCGACATCACTGGTTTTCCAAAATTCCAGCTATTCTTGGCCATTTCCTTTTTAAATTAACTTTAGAACAAGTTTCTTTTTAGATTACTTTGGGGGGAACTGATAACTTTCTGATATGAAGTCATCACACCTAGGAAATCTTTCTCAAAATCAGCCTTGAATATTTCCTTTTAATTTACTATTTAAGAATACCACATGTATATTTTTTACGTCCACCTGGCGACATTTTGCTTAGGTCTCTGACTTGCAGAGAATGTCCCTGCCACCTCAAAAATCCAAGAGAATCAAGTGATAAACAATTTTTTTTCCTTTTTTTTAAAGATTGGCATCTGGGCTAACAACTGTTGCCACAGTACATAGTTATATATTTTAGTTGCCAGTCCTTCTAGTTGTGGGATGTGGGACGCCGCCTCAACGTGGCCTGACGAGCGGTGCCACGTCCGTGCCCAGGATCCAAACCCTGGGCCGCAGCAGCGGAGTGCGCGAATTTAACCACTCGACCACGGGGCCGGCCCCTGATAAACAATTTTAACTAGCGAGGTTAGCAGGTGTACTGTTCATATCCGCCAAGCCTTTATCTTTTCACATTTCTTCAGCTGTCACTGGCCTATTTCTGACTGCTTTACCAGTGTTTAATTTCCCGAGGCATATTCTGCCCCAGAGACCTCATGAAGCAAGCACTGGCCTAGGAGGAGGTGCCATCCCAGTAGCAGAGAGTGCTGCTCTCCGCGAAACGGAACAAGGGCGCCTGGAAGAAATGGCTGATTTGGGGGCGGGGGGAAGTAGGAGAGACTGGAAGTCATCCTTGCACCAAAAAGGAAGGAAGTACTCAGAGAATGACATGGACATGTCAGAAAGAGACGGGAGCCAGCATGGAGGGCTCTCACTGGGATAACCCGAACATCACAAAAAATCACTCTCATAAAGGCTTATCACCCACTGAATAAAATAAGAATCTCTAAATTCACGCAGATAAATGGGGGAAGGTTTAGCTACCTCCTAGGGTAGAAAACCAACTCATCAACGTGGGGGAATGACAACATCTAGAAAGTCACCTCACCACCGGACAAGAATCCGTGGATGCTGAAACCAGCGGAGGAGGAACAGGATATTTATGTCAGTCTCACAGTCTCTTCCCCATAGATACAATTACAGAGGGTGCGAGAGGAACTTTCCAGTGGAGAAACCTGACCAGCGCCACTCTGAGTCAGTTACGCAAAGGCACAGCATGTGCCCTACAGCGGATGCCGAGCAGACAAACCCCTCTCGTGGTATTACTGACAAAAGCGTATAATTTGAAGCTAATCATGAGAAAAACAAAAAACACAATAAAACCCAAAGTGAAAAACAGCCTTCAGAATAAGGAGTCTGGACTCTTCAAAAACGGCAACGTCACGAATACAAGACAGCGCTGAGACTATCTGAGACATACTTTCCAGCCTTCTGATGGAAACAGCCAGGTATGCCGACTTCAAACCGTTCTGACTTTGCTCATCAACAGGTCGGAAGATCCCTATTTTCAGTTAAAATCTGGACAAAATCTAGTAAAGCCGTTGGAAACAATTCAGCGGACTTGCAAACTCGCCCTATCAGGGGTCAAACACGCTGTAAAGCTGCAGAACAGGCTAATTACACCAAGCCTAAGGAAACACACACACCAGTCAGTACTGAATGGTTTCATTTCACACGAAGTTCTAGAACAAGCAAAACCAAACGATGGTGAAAGTCATCACTTTCGTTTTTCTGGCGAGGGGCGGGGAGAGTGAAACTGGGAAAGGGCAGCAGGGATCTTGCTGAGATGCTCCACGCCCCCGTCTCCACCGAACTCACACCACGCGCAAAAACATTCCAAATGAGTTACAGCCACACGCAAACATAACACCTTCAGAGTTACCACACAAAGCGGGATACTCCTCATAATCTCCAAGCAGAGGAGAGCCTTTCAAAACGTAACATAAAATCCACAAACCACACACTACAGGTTGACAGCACTGCCTGTATTACAGATCAAAACTAACGACCAAATCACCACAAACAAGGTAAGTCACGCGGGACTGGGCACAACTGTGACATTGCACACAGAGAGCCCTCGAAAGTCAGCAAGACAAACCACCCAGCAGAAAAATGGGCAAGGGGTATGAAAAGGGGATTGAGAAAATATAGATGGCCGATTTTCAGAAGCCGTCCAATCTGTGAAGAAATGCAAACGAAAGCTTTACCGTGGAGAAAAGCAGATAAATTCAGGGGAACTTTCCTTCTACGGAAGAGGCAACGTTTAAAAACGCTCAGAGTCAAGCGAGAGTTAAAGAAAGAGGCAGCCCCCACTGCTGGCAGAGACATTCACTAGCACTGCCCCACTTTTAAAATAAAACGCACATACCCTTTGACCCCACAATTCTCACCTAAGTTATCAAAAAACATATACTCCTTTAACTAGAGTTATTTCTGGTTCATGGCAGCACCAAAAATTGGAAATGCCGAGTGAAACCTGGAAAAAACCTGAATAATCTAGTAATAAGGAGACAGACGAGCAAAATCGCAGTGTACTCGTACGAAGGACTACTCCTAGGCTGTTAAATCATGGAGTGTTTTTATCTACTCGTAGCCCTAGGGAAAAACAAAGAGATGTCTCTAACACGCTAAATGAAAAAACCAAATTACAGAATATTTTGTATGATACGACCAATTTTTTTAAAACGGAAGAAAAACTCACACACACAGGTGTGCGGACATCTTCATGGGCACATTTTCCGACTGCGCACACGCAGAAGTCCGGGGAAGCACGCCGAAACTAATACCGAGCTGCCCGCCGACTGCACAGGAACTTCCCGTTCTACCTACTACATATTTGTATTTTCAAAAACCTCAGCACAAGCATTGCTTTTTAAAGTTGAGACCAAAAAGAAAGCAAAAGGGAGACCCACAGGGTCTATTTTTCCCCGCCATGAGTGTCTTTCTCTGTCGATTTTCCAGACTCTTGGTCTTGGTGGAGACACTTGCTGGGCAAACCCAAAAATGCGCCATGAACCGCGGACCCCGAACCGACTCCACTCATGGTGAGCAGGGTGAGGCCACTGCTGTCCTCCCGGAGCCGACCCCGCACAGCGGGGCGGACACAGGGGCCTGGCCTGCCGGAGACGGGTCAGTCCCAGTCCTTCACCACCGGCCCAGTCACACGAATAGGTCACTCTGCGGCCTGAGCAACAATGCCTCCACTTACCAAGGAAACTTCCAGAACAGTCCAATGCCCACTTGTAGCTAATTCTTTCTTAAAACAGTACTGAACGTTACCGAGTTAAATTATGAAGGAAACACTGAGGGGGAAGACAGACGAGAAAGACACAACCTGCACCCTCAGCAACCTGGTTCTGACCCCAGGCACGTGACAAAGCACTAAACCGAGGCAGGGAACGAGGCCACGCCAGGCAGCAGACCCAAGGAGAGCCTGCGGCTGCTGGCGGATCAGAGGCCGGCTCTGGAGGGACGAGGCCTGGACGCAGAGGACGGAGGGGGCCGCGGAGCACTCAGGGCGAGGCCGGGGCCAGAGCGGGCGTGCCTGGGGCCCGACTGGAGCGCACGGTGTAGCAGAGCGGGAACAGGAGAAGCAGGAGGGAAGACGGGGCAGGGGGCGAGGGCCACCAAGGCCGCGTGGACCGGGCCCTGAGGTGTCACGTGGTTTGGAAGCACCATCTGTACAAGTGACCCCCATGTCCCGCCAAGTGCTGGCAAGGGCAGCTGTCTTCCGATGCCGTGGGCCTGACGCGCTCCACAGCAGGGTCTGGGCGCAGGGCCGCTGAGGGGCCCAGAGGAAACGGGGTTGCCAGCTGTCCTTCCCGCCTGAAGCCCAAGTCCCGCGGACGCAGAACTCCGGAGGGGCGCGAGAGGAGGCGCCGGCCAGCCCCGGCCCACAGGCGCCGCAGCCGTACCTTTGCTGGACCGCTTCGCCGCCTTCTTGCTCCCCTCGGAGGTGATCTCGATCTCGTCGGGGTTGCCGCCTTCGTCTTCGATGGCCTGCAGCGGGGGGACAGCGGGGGGGCAGCGTCAGCAGAGCCCGCCTCCGCCCGCTCCCCCCTCCCTCCAGGGCTGCGGGCAGGCGCCCCGCACACCCACCAGCCTGGCGCAGGATGACCCGCCACCCATGCCGCCCGAAAGGCCGCCCCCTCCCCGTGACCCCTCCGTGGGCCCCCTGCCCGCCCCGGCACCGGCTGAGAACACCGCAGCCCACCGCGGGGCCGCTCCCACGGGGCCTGGACACGAGGCGACACGTCCTAACACACGCATCTGCGACCGACTGCCAACGTCCTGCTCTCCACCGCTAGGGGACCCCCTCGGGGACAAGGAACCAGGAGGGTCTCTGGCAAGCCCCGCCCCCGGCCTGTCATTCACGGAGCAGCCCCACCCCCGCTCGGACGCCCGGCAGCACCGAGGCACCAGGCGATCAGCACCGGCCGGGCGACGACACCCCGGGGCCAGGCTGCGCGTCCAGCCCTACAGGTGACCCTCCCCTCGGGCAGGCAGTTCCAGAAGCCTCGGTTCCCGGCGTTTCCCAGCTCGGCAGTCTAAATTTAGAACGGGGCCGGGGGCTCCACCCCAATCTGTGCCAGGAGCAAAGAAAACCCTTCCTCCTCTCTGAAGCCAGAGCCTGGAGCGGGGACTGGAGCTGCGCCCCGGGGGCAAGGGGAGCACAACCGGAAGGCCCCTCTCTCTCTTCCTAGGGACAGAAGATTCTGGAATAGCATCCGGAGAAGACAAGAGCTGCCCCAGAGAGGAGCGACCTCCTCTGGGTGCAGCGCGTCCCCGGGGGTGCAGGGCCCTCCCCGAGGCACGCGGGCTGAGTCCTCCTCGCAAGCCTCGCAAACTGCCCTCCGCCTTCCCTCCCTGGGAAAGCAGCCGCGAAGGGACCACGCTGCACGGCGGGGGCAGAGACATCGGCCACTGCAGGCCCGCCGGGCGGGAAACGTGTGTTGTGAGCACATCCCCGAGCCACCGAAAGGAGGGAGAAGGAAGGAGGCACGGCTTTGTCCCCGAAGAGACGAAGGACGAAGACCCCTGAGATCACACCCGAGCCGCAACCGCACGGGAAGGCCCGAAGCCATCCTCTGGGCCTGCAGGCTCGGGCCCGCCTGGGGGAAGGGATAAAGCGCCATCTGGCTTCGCGGACGCGCCGGCCCCCTGCTCCCGGGCCCGGGCAGGTGCGGGACTGGCCGTGCGCGCCTGCCCGTCCGCGTCCGGCAAGCCGGGACCCACGGCGACACACACGGGCCCACCTCCCCTCCCCCCGCGGGAAACAGGAAGCAATCCCTACTTCCTCCCCGCCGCAACCCCGAGCAACCGAAACCCCGGCTCCCGGCTGATGGGCGGCCGGGAGGGGACACCTCCCCGCACACCTCCCCGCCCGCAGGGGGTGGGGGCACCGGCGGCGGCGGAGGGTCCCAAGCAGAGCCGCCGGGAACAAGGACACGGCGGGGGATGCGACGTGCACATCCGCCCCCCCCCCCACCGCCGCTTTCCACGCCGCATCGCCCAGAACCGCGAGCCGGGCGTCAGAGCCCGCGTTCTGCAGGGGACAAACGGTGGCGGGCGGTGACAGCGATCGCAGCGCCAACAGGGACGGGCCCCGGGGGCCCGGGGCGGCGCAGCCCCGCGTCCTGCCATCTTGCTTCCTCCCGACCCCAAAGCCCCATCCTGCGCGGCTTCCAACCCCAGAAACACGCTCCGAGGGGGCTCCACGTGCTCCCCGCCCACGGCCAGCCCGCCTTTCCGGGGGGGGGGCCCGCGCAGCTGTCCTCCTGTCCCCCCGCCTGTCGCTCACATCCCCGGCCGCTCCTGCAAACAGCACCTCCCCGCGCCGGCGCTGGCAGCCCCCCAGACCCTCCTTTTCCCTTCAAAGACCCCCTAAATACGTTTATTCCGCAAACGGCCTCCCCCCCCAAGGCCCGTCGGCCCCCACCGGCCCAGGAGCATCCTTCCTCCCCGGGGAGCCCCCGCCCCCGGCCGCGTGACCTTGGCCGAGTCCCCTCTCCGCCGGGATTCGAACCCGGGCCCGGCCGCGCTCGGCGCTCCCGCCGGGGCCTGGGCGGAGCCGGGCCGGGCGCAGGCCGCACACCGGGCCGGGGGTGGGGGTCCCCGAGGCCCCTGCCACCTCCCCGCGCCCCGCGCCGCCCCCGCCCCCGGGCCTGGCGCCACCTTTCGGAGCCGCTCCATCAGGACGCTCTTGTTGCCGCTCGAGTCCAGGTTCCGTTTCCTCAGCTCCGCCCGCAGATCGATCACCCGCAGGTCGCTGAGCCGCCGCGTCCCGGTCTCCGACGAGGCGGAGCTCAGCGCCGCCGCGCCTGCCGCCCCCGAGTCGCCGAGGCCTGACAGAGTCTCCGCCATTCCAGGGACCCTGGCTCCGCTGCCCGTTTCACACAGAACCGGCCCGGTTTTCGCTCCGCTCCCAGCACAAAATGGCGCCGCCTGCGAGGGAACCGCTCCAGCCGCCCCGGCGCGCCTCGCTTCTGCGCAGGCGCACCCGGCGCGGGGCCGACGCTCCAGGGCGCGTCTGCACCTGCGCGGTGAGCGCGCTGCGGGGATGTGCGCAAGCGCGTTGCGTGTCGCCGGTCTCCCGCCGCCGCCGCCCGGGACGCATGCGTGCTGCAGGGACGGCGCCTGCGCGTGGCGGCGGGGGGCGCGCTCGCAGCCGTGAACGCCGGTCGGGGCGGCGCGCATGCGCGGCCGGAAAGCGGGGCGGGAGGAAGCGAGTGCGTTTTCCTCTTAGGCGGCGCCATTTTGTGGTCAGAGCCGCTCCGGCCGCCGGCGGGGTGGGGAGGGGGTGGCGGAGGCGGGCGGCCCGGGATGGCGGAGACTCTGGCCGGGTCCGGCGACTTGGGTGCGGGCGCGGCCGCCGTCGGGCTGGGCGCCTCGGAGGCCGGGACGCGGCGGCTGAGCGAGCTGCGGGTGATCGACCTGCGGGCGGAGCTCAAGAAGCGGAACCTGGACACGGGCGGCAACAAGAGCGTCCTGATGGAGCGGCTCAAGAGGGTGAGGCGGCGCGGGGCCCGGGGCCGGCACGCCCCCGCGCGGCCTGTCACCGCGGCCCGAGCTGTCAGGGGCCAGGGGACCCGGCTGGGTGACCTTGGCCCGTCACCGCCCCTCTCTGTGCCTCGCTTCCCGCCCTCCTTCCCGTCGCTCGTCTCAAGGGCCCCCGAAAGCCCGTCTTGTTAGCTCCGGGGGCTCTGTCACCTTGGACGTGTGCCTTCCTCTCCCCGCGCCTTCGTTTCCCCGCTTGGAGAACCGTTGAGGTCTTGCAGAAAGGGGGCCGTGCCTGTTCCTGCCCCAGGACCTTTGCACTGCCTGTCTCCTCCCTTGCTCTTTTCCTGGCTGGCGCCTGGTTGTCATTCTGGGTCTAGAGCGGAGATGTTACCTGCCTGGCCACCCTCCTCTAAAGTGTTGCTTCATCTCCCTGCCTCTCTGTGTCTCCCCGTTCTGGGTGTGCGGATGCGCAGCCTCCTAGTGCTTCATACATAGTGGGTGGCATGGGGTTGTCGTCTTGCGAGAGCAGAGCTCCTTAAAGGGGGGGATCTTGGGAGGTCACTGGCGAGGACCCGGGCACGCACAAGACTGTTGGGTGGTCTTCCATCCCCGGGGGTGATCTGTGGACCACCGCTCAGCCCTGTGCCCGTGCCCGATCCGGTGCCGCCAGTTTGTCTGTTCCATCGTTGACTTAAAGCGAGAGGTTGGGCGGGTCGGAGGCCGGGGGCTGGCATTGACCCCGTCTCCAGATCCCGAGCTGCCCCCGCTTGGTCTCCTGGGGGTGGGGCACAGAGGGGACCTGCGGTGCCCAGGGTGTGCGGCCCGGGCCGCTCTGTGCAAGCGAGGCTTTGCCCTTGTCTGCTGGGGGTTGTCCCTTGCGGGGAACGGTGTGTGCCCGGCAGCCCTGAGCCGTGTCACCAACTTGTCCTCCCCCTCCAGGCCGTGAAGGAGGAAGGGCAGGATCCCGAGGAAATCGCTGTCGCCTTGGAAGCCACAAGCAAGAAACTGGCCAAGAGAGGCGTCAAAGGTACCCGCTCGCGCCCAGCGCTGCTCGGCCTCAGTGCTGAGTAGAAAACCGATTTGGGGGGCTCTTCCCCCCCAAACCCCCCCCCCCCACCGGGCCGGGAGAACCTGCTTGGCGCCCATTGTCACCCCCGTCTGACAGTCAGCTTTGCTTTTCAGCACCTGACACGTTGCTGCGTCAGGCGTTCACGGCAGGACTACAGAGACGTGTGGGTGTCGAGCAAAATGAAAATATTTATTAGAAACTACTCTCGGCGGGGCTGGTCTGGTGGCATCATGGTTAAGCTTGTGTGCACCGCTTCAGCGGCCCGGGGTTCAGGGATTCGGATCCCGGGTGCAGACCTACCCACCGCTGAGCAGGCCGTGCTGTGGCAGCATCTCACATATGGAATAGAGGGAGACGGGCACAGATGTTAGCTCAGGGCCAGTCTTCCTCAGCAAAAAAAAAAAAGAAAAAAAAATTAAAAACAGTCGGTGTCATTGGGATTAAAAAAGACCTAGTGTAATGCACGCTCTGAAGGGTGCCACAGCTGGGCCGAGCAGCCAGAGGCACCTGCTGGGCTTCCTTCCTGCTTCAAAAAATAGGTCTGGAACCGAGGAAAATGACACCCACCGGAGACCGAATAGATCCCAGCTTCCTTAGGGTCCAAAGTAGACTGTCGGGAGTATTTGCACCCAGCTTCTGTTTTCCTAGTGGGGTTCTTTTTAAAAAATCGAGATGTAGGTCACACGCTGTGAGATGCACCTGTTTAAGGTGGATACCGCAGCACTTTTTAGTATACTCAGCAGGCTGTCACCATTGTCTAATTCTAGAACGTTTTCACCCAGAAAGAAGCCGCTATGCCCGTTAGCCGTCCCTCCCCATAGACGCTGGTGATGTCTAATTGACTTTGTGTTTCTAGCGGTTTCCCTGTTCTGGACGTTTCCCGTCCATGGGGCACACGCTGTGTGTCCTTCTGTGTCGGCTTCTCTCCCTGAGCGTCGCGTGTGCAGGTCCGTCCACGTGCGGCTGTGTCGGGGCCTCGCTCCTCTTCACGGCTGATATCAGGCATTCTTGGAAGCGCTTCATTCCGTAACACTTTGAACCCTTGCTGCCCTCCTTGACATTAGGTTTTGCAACATTAAGGACAGCGTAGTTCGAAACTCCTGTGCCAGGGGCTTGTGTCCTGGAGAGATGGCGCACGGACCTGGTCCGTGTCCCTTTCATCTGAAGGAGCCTCAGATCCGGGCAGCGGAGGACGGCGGCTCAGAAAGGCACAGAGACGGTGCTTTGTGACATTTTCCACAATTTCAGCTTCCTTTTTGAACAGCGTTTCCAAGCACAGCTTTTCCATAACCCGTCTCACGGGTTGGAACGTGTGCACGCGTTTTGGAAGGTTATTTTTGCTTAGATTACGTAAAGGATTTACTTTGGAGTTTAGTTGGAAAACGTTGGTGTGTTTTGCTGTTTTTGCAACGGCCCGTGTTTCAGCGACAAACGCTGAGTGTCCCACAGGCTGCGGATGGAGAGAGGCGGGCCTGCAGCCGGCACGCACGGCGCCTCCCTGTGCGAGGCCGTGGGGTCCGCCGTGGCTGGAGGCCTGCGTTCCAGCAGCCGCGGGGCGACTGGGGATCAGCCTGCGAGTTTGTAGTGTCGCTGCTCACTGCAAACCGTGGAGGTTCGAGGCTTACGGGTCACAGCGAGCTCGGCTCCTGTCAGGGAATCTTCGCGTCCTTAGGCAGACGCAGCCTCAGATCCCCGTGTCTGTGTCTGAGGTCCCATCGGAGCTGCCCGGAGTTGGCCTTCTGTCCGGAGAGCTTTGGGGACAGTCCCTTCCACTGGCATAGAGAGCGTCTGTGCCTGTACGGCTCTGACCGCGAGCAGGAGGATGCTCGCTAGTCCTTCTCTCGCCTGTTGGGAGGAGTCACCGAAGCCCGGCGAAGGGGCAGTGGCAGGTCCCGCAGGTCTCCCACGTTGAGCTGGCGTGTTTGGGAGGTGTCTGGGCTCCTGGTTAGCAACAGTGCTGGACCCTCACCGTGTCCTGGTTGATGCCAAGTCCTCGAGGTAATGTAGGAGTGACGGGGGGGAATTAACCAGCCGTTCCCCAGGGGCCGTGCCGTACTCACTGGAAATTCACGAGTGACTGCTGCTTCCCATTGTAAAAAGCCACTAAACTTGCCGAGAAAAGCTTCCTCGTTGTGAAGAGGACAGTCGCTCCCCGACTCAGCTAGACAGGCAGAGGGCTGAGGACTCGTGGATGTGTGTTGAAAGGTTAAAGTTTGAGTTAGGTTTGCGTGGGATTAAAATGTGGTTTTCCGGTCTCTGTGGCCCCCTCCGCCCCCTGCTTGTCATCAGTCGTCACTGAGACCAGGCCCTGGGGTCCCGTGCTGCGGGGGCAGCCGTCTCCTCTGCATCTCTCCTTCCGTCCTGGGCGGGCCCGGCAGGCGGCTGTTCGAGGCCTGGAAATGGGGTGCAATTAACAAGCGTTCTTAGACCGCGTATTTCCCAAGGACGTGCCGGGTGTAGACAGAACGGGAGGTGGCACAGCTGAGGTTTCTGAGTCCCAGCTTTGGAGCTGGATCCGATTCTCCTGCGTAAGGTGCGGCGACAAACCTGCTGGCGTCGCAGGGAGAGTTAAATCGTAGACGTGGAGAGCGCGGGGCCCGACAAGTGGTGCAGCGATGTCCCCTGAGTGATTCTTGATCAGAACAGGGAAGGAGATGCTAGAGCTGTGGACGCTGCGGGTCGCGTCTTTATCAGGGATGGAAGTTTCTTATGTTTCGTTTCCTTGTTTTTAAAAATTTCAAGGAAAGTACACATGTGAAAGTAAAACTTTCTCATCTTATCGTAACTCAGTGTTTTAAGCCCTGTTGGCGACTGCCCGAGCCGCGTCTGTCTTTCTCACAAACGCATCTTCACACTTGTGAGTATACAGACTCACTCATGTTTTTTAGTAAAAGTAGATTACGTGGTTTTGGTTTTTTTAATTTTTTTATTATTATTTCTTTTGCTTTGTGGGTGTTTCCACATATCGTTAAATATTCTTTAAAAGCCTACTGTTGTTTAAGTTGCAATCCATTCTCTGCTCTACCATGGGTTTCCCAGCCTCGGCACCATCGACAGTTTGAGCTGGGTGTCATGGCAGGTGCTGTTGGTGCCTTACGGTGCGTTGAGCAGCGTCCCTGGTCGCTGTGCCCCAGACGCCAGCAGACTCCCCCAGTTGTGGCGCCAAAAGCGTCTCCAGTCATTGACAGATTACACCCACTGGCCCGTCGAGAACCACTGGTGTCCCCGTGGGAACAGAACGTGCCTTGGGGTCATTCCTTTGGACGGTTGGCCATGCGCACTTTCTAGAGCCGAAGGAGCACCTGTGTTTCGAGTTCCTCGTCAGACATCGTAGGGCCTGTGCTCAGAGAGCGTTCCTGGCACACCAGGGATGCAGGTTTTTAAGGCTGTCGATACTTTGCAGCCCAGAGTTAGCACTCGCCTCCTGAGTCTAGACGTTTCTGCGCCCCTGCCCTCCAGCCCCGTGGGAGCCAGAGCAGTAACTTGGAACGGTTCTTGTGCCTTCACAGCACCCGGGATGACCACGGGCTCCGTGGTGGCCTTTGCCCTTTCACCTTGCAAAACATGGCCCCGGGCCGAAGACTGACAGCGGGCGTGATGCAGGGGAGCCGCCCGTCAGTGCCCCCGCCCGTGGTTGTGGCCGTGGTTCCTTGGTTGCTAGACGGACAGGGCGCTCTGAAGTTTCTGTTGGTTGGAGACGGGCTGTGTTTGTCTTCTTGTTTTTCTGTTGGGGTGTTTGCCTTGGTTCGGCGTCATTTTGAAATCTCCTGGAGCTCTTAGGTGTTTTTCAAAGTCAAAAGGCTTTCCATGGCATAGATTCCGTAGCGTAGGTTTCCTGGCTCAGGTGGGATGGAGCCACACGTGGTAGAGGAGCGGCCACTCTCTGTTTGCGTGTCACGTGCTCTCCCCAGGTTGAAATCTGTCGCCCCGCATAGACTCCCTCTGAGGGCAGGACCTGAGTGCTGTGACTGAACAGCTGTTCTGTGATTAGGACAGAAGACGGAGGAAGAGGGCACGGAAGACAACGGCCTGGAAGAAGATTCCAGAGACGGGCAGGTACGTGGCATCCCCATGGCGGTGGCGGCTGGAGGCCCGCGTCCTCGTCCCCGTCGTCAGTACCTCTCCTCCCCTTTCAGGAGGACACGGAAGCCGGGCTGGAGGGCTTGCCGGACATGGACATGGTGGACGTTAGCGTGCTCGGGGAAGCCGACGCCGAGAGCAGCAGCACCGCGGGCTTGGGGGCCGACGGCATTCTCGAGTCCCTTTGCGACAGCAAAGGATACGTGGCTGCGCAGCTGCGGGAGCTCCCGGCTCAGCTCACGGGGCACGCTGTAGGTAACTCGGGGACCTGGCGGAATGTGCCGGCAGCCCTGAGGCCCCCGGGGCTTGTGTGCTGTGACACGAGTGCGGGCACACTGGTGCCTGGTTGACAGCACACGGCGCAGCCACCCATCACCGCGATTGCCCAAGTCCATGTCTGAACCTTGTGGGTAAATTAGAGCCGCTTAGATGCCACCCAGGTCGGATGTTAACAAGTGGATGACCGTGATCTCTGCAGTGTTGGAGGAGACGTTTGCAGTGGGATGGGAGACACTTTCCAGCCAAAAGTCGAAAATGCAAGGCCAACACAGTGAAAGTATTTCCCTTTTAAAGTAAATTAAAAGAGAACTGTAGAAAGATAAAACAAAAAAGTTCATAGTTTCATCATCCAGATAGTCCTTGGATGTTTTTACGTGTCCTTGTGGCCAAGCGCTGTCTGTAACTCAGTTCCCAGCGTCGCTTCTCGTGCTGTGGCACAGAGCTCTGCGGGGCGGCCCTGCGAGAGCTGGCTGACAGCTCTTAAGGACTCGGCGTGCCCAGCTGCTTTGGTTCAGTGGTTTTATTTATTTACTTAAGGCCATATCGCTTTAGACTGGAAAGAACTGCTCTCCTAGGACGGAACTTTGAACCTTAGGGGTCAAAAGTCACACGCTCCAAATGTTGCTGCCCTTCAGCCTGGGGTAGCGTTGAGCAACTCGTCTGTCCTCCCCCCTCAGCGTGGTCCTGTGTGCAAGTGTTGATCGTTCCCAGAGGGTGGTCTTGCTTTCAAACTTCTCGGTTAGTGGAATCACCCAGGTTTTGAGGTTCAAACCTAGAAAAGGGAAAAACAGAAAAATATCGGGGAAGGGGTCTTTTTTATATTTCACTTGAAGAAATAAGAGATGGTCGAATTTAGTAACCTTTAACATAGGAGTTTTTTTAATACATAGTAAACAGCGAAAAGAGATGACAATCAAGTATTTGTTTTAAACAAAACACTCCAGAAATGGGCACTTATTCTTATCTTAAAAGTCTGGCCACAAGTGAGATGAGAGGAGTGTGAAGTTTATCATTTCCATCTTGAGCTCTGCTTTGGGGATGCTGAGGCGGGCGGGGGATGCTGACAAAGCCGCCTGGGAGATGAGTTCATGGGTTCACTCAGACACTCCTGACAGTGCTGCCTCTGCGAGCCGCTGTCAGAGCCGCTGGTGTCGCCAGGCCCGGAGCGGGCTGGCAGGGAGGCAGCTGGTAGACGACAGCACCCAGCAGTGGGCTCGCAGAGGATGGTGGGCCTGGGAGGGGAACAGACACGCAGGCTGCCTGCACGGGGCGGGGGAGGCCGCGGCGTGTGCGGCGCTGTCTCCACGAAGCCATCTTCATGTCCTCTTCCAGGTGGATGGCGACGGCTTCGAGAACACTCTGGATGCTTCACCAATGGACTTCAAAGTCCCTCCGGTAGGTTACCGTGTGGTTCTGCGCCACTGGAAACTTGAGGGCAGTGGTACATTGTCCACAGCGTGTGTGCAAATGGCTCAGGAAGCATGGACGCTGCCCCCGGGGCTGGGGGTGAGGGCTGAAGGCGAACTGTCACTCTCAGGGTCTGCAGTCCATGGGGGCGGGCTCGCAACCAACGGGAACGGAACTAGAAGGGGAGAGTTGGGCCACGCAAGCTTCTGGAAGGCTTCCTGGAGGCGTCCTCTGTGGATTGAGGTCTCGTGTTGGTCAGGAGTTCGCCCCGTGAGGGGGCAGAAGGGAGAGTGGCTCACTGGAGGGGTGGAGGATACGAGTGGGCCTGACGACCAGAGTCTGGGGTTCAGCTTCTCGTCTTGGGGACAGTGGGGAGTTGGGGGAGGGCTTAACAAGGTAGAGATGCCTTTGTCACAGGGTCCGCTTAGAAATACTGGGTTACGTTGGGAGGAATACATTTTTCGGTCTAGTGCAACTTAGAAAGTGGCGGCCCTCGTGTGGTCTCTGCCTTGACTTGGAGTCCGCCAGCTGCAGAGGCCGTTAGGTCAGCTGGCACTTGGGGTGGGCTGGCCGGACCCTGGGGGCTCGGACGGGCTCGGTGTTGCGCTGCTTGCTTGAAAGCTGTGTCTCCCGGGGAAGTGTGCCTGCCCCGTTTGTAAGGCCTGGTGGCCTTTCTCTCTCTTTCTCTCTCTCCACAGGACGTTGAAGAGCCCCTGTCGGAGCCAGGTACTGATAAGACAAACACGCCATTGTGGTTTGAAAGGTCTCGCTGCTGTTTTTCCGAGCTGTCTCTCTCTTAAGCTGTGTTACGGTCTCGTAAATTACTTTAATGGTGGGCAATCCAGATCGTTCGAGGATCAGAGATTGGAAACCCACTCGTATCACCAGATCTGTGGCAGTGCCGTGCTGGCCTAGAGGCCGCTGTGTTTGGTGAGGGGCAGTCGTGATTTCCTCCCTCTGACCACGTAGCGTGGCATTTAAGCGATTCTTCCATGTGTTTCCACACATGAAACAGATCTTGTGATATCTTGCTGCCGGCCTTTCCGTTAGTGCAGTTGAGGCAGGATAAAGCGGTGTCAGGGCGCTCGGGACCCCAGAAAGGGTGGATCCCAGAAGAGGAAACCGTTTCTCCATGAGAATTTCCAACGTGTCCTCCCCTCCTGGACTGCGCGTATCTCCCGCCGTCGGAAGAGAGTCTGGTTTTCATGTTGGACTGTTCTGTTAAAAGAAACGCGAAGAAATTTGGAAATTGAGCTGTCAGTGAACGGTGATGGCATTCGCTTCGCCGCCTCGGACATTGGAAAAAGAAGTCAGAAGCCCCAGACTTGAACAGACACACGAAGACGTTCGGGAAGCAGCCGAATGGTTGTGGGTGTTTAAATCTGTGGGGCCTTTTCTCTTCTCTTCCCTGTAGCGTAGAGGCTTGCCTAGCGGTGGTCGCAGCGCAGGTAGTGTACCCGGTGTGAGTGTGTGTCCCCGCGGGTTTTCCAATCTCTGTGTAGCTAGCTCTTCTCTTCGTGTTAGTGTGGCCGCCGTGCCCGTGCCGCATTTGTGATTGCTTTATTTCCCTGGTAATTAAACCTTGTGCCATTCTATTCCTGTTAAATCCGTAGAAAATGAGAAAATACTCGACATTTTGGGGGAAACTTGTAAATCTGAGCCAGTAAAAGAAGAAGGTCCCGAGCTGGAGCAGCCATTTGCCCAGGATACAAGTAGCGTGGGGCCAGACAGAAAGCTTGCGGAGGAAGAGGACCTTTTTGGCAGCGGCCACCCGGAGGAGGGTGCTTTAGATGTGGCCGGCGAGTCCCCGGGCCAGGCTCAGGCGAGCCAGGCAGACAGCCTGTTAGCGGTAGTGAAAAGGGAGCCGGCGGAGGAGCCGGGCGCTGGCGCGCGGACGGACTGCGAGCCTGTAGGGCTAGAGCAGCGAGCGGAGCAGAGCAGGGGAGCCTGCGAGCCCGCGGGAGCCTGTAGCGAGGAGGCCGCGGAAGCGCCCCCGGAAGCCTCGAGCCCCGAGCCCGGGGATAGCCACGAAGACGGGCCGAAGCTTGCTTTTGAAGCTTGTAATGAAGTCCCTCCGGCTCCTAAAGAGTCCTCAGCCAGTGAGGGCGCTGATCAGAAAATGAGGTTTGTTTTTTCTCAGTTTTAGACCAGACGCTATCTCCTTTTCATGGGTCGTTTAATGACACGCATAAGCTGTTGTCCTGCCATTGGCCAGCCAGACTGATGACACTAGTTTACTGCTAAAGAATGTTTGATTTCTCTTTGTGTATTTTTAATGGGCGATTCGATTCCGTTTCTTTTTCTCAACCTACTATGGTTGTGTTCTTAAATTAAGCGCTCCCTTCAGCTAAATCGAATTGACTTTTAAGAATCTGACGTTGTATTTGGGGGTCAGATTCCCACTAGAAGCTTGCAAAGGTGTCTGGTAAAGTTTTATTTCAGACTAATTTTCTGGTAGGTATTCAGTTTTAGCACATATCATACTTTTAATTTAGTTCTCTTTCGTGTTTTTCCTGTATGAGTAACATTAACTTTTGTCTCTAGCTCTTTTAAGGAAGAAAAAGATATAAAGCCAATCATTAAGGATGAAAAAGGTATGGTTTAACTCACGCGGTGGGAGCCACCTTCGGAGCCGTTGTCTGGGGAGGGGGGCCTGCAGGCGTCCACAGTCTGGACCCAGTAGTTTGCTTTATTGTGGATTCCTGGAATTAACCAGCCAGTGGGCACCTCGAGAGACGAGCGTTAAACGTTGGTGAGCTCGTGTCTTCTGTGTCTTTAGCGTGGTTATCATTTATGGGGTAGTGAGAACCGTATCGCAGGACAGGAGTCTTTCTGCCCATGGAATAATAATGTGACCAGGGTCGCAGCCACTGCTGTCCTGCTTGAGCACTGGGCGTGGAGAGGCATTCCCGCTGTTGCTGACACGGGCACGGTTATCCCTACCGTAAGGACTCTCAGTTCCCAGGATGCAGACTTTCTGTGTCCCGTCCTGTGCGTTGGCAGCATTTAAATTCTTGAGTCGGGAGGGCTGACAGCAGACGTAGTTAGGTTGAAGAGAGGGCTCCCGTCCCAGGACGGCCATGCTCCCTGTTAGAGCCCGCGGCGGGGCGTGACCGTCTCCCTCCTGCTCCAGGGCGGGCCGGCAGCGCTTCGGGGAAGAACCTGTGGGTGAGCGGGCTGTCTTCCACGACTCGGGCCACCGATCTGAAGAACCTCTTCAGCAAATACGGCAAGGTATGCTCTCCGTGCGTCCTGCCCCCAGCCTCGCATTGGCGTTAAGAAGTCAACGCAGGAGCTCAGAAACTGAGTTCTGGCTTTGTTGAATTGTATTGGTTCTCATTTCTGGTCTTGAAAAACAACCACTACAATAAAAAACCCCAGGGGGAGCCCCCCGCCCAGTCCTGGGTGGTGTGCCTTGTTCCTTGGGCAAGAGTGGGTGACGGGGAGCAGGTAGCTCCTTGTGGCACAGAGGAACACCACTCCAAAAGTGGGTACAAAGAGCTACTGTGTAATGTTCTCGTGGTCCTGACTCCTCTTAAGGAGGCTGCTGCCTTCTGACCTACGCAGAACTGGGAGCGGGCGTGTCCTTTTCCTTAACCATGAGTAAGAGTCCACTTTCATCTCTTCTGACATCTTGTGTGGGTTGAGAACTGGCACGTAATAGTGGTTTAAAAGTAAATGAACTACTATAATGCTCACGGGGGCAGGAGGAAAATCACAGAATTCAGAAGCCTTCCGAGGGACTCGAAGGACACTTGAAAGCAATTCCCCTGTCTTGGAGTTGGATAACGAAAGAGTCTTGTTCTCAGCCCGAGGGACTGCCGTGGCCCTGTGGAGTGGCCCTCCAGCAGGGCGTGGGCAATTACTGCTGGGTGTCAAGAAGTCACAGGGACTCCAGGCAGAGGTTTGGCGGCTGTGCCATCCTGGCTGCCCAAGGGTTCATTGCTCAGGTCCGTGTCACCCGATGAGGTGTTGGTGAATGCATTAGTGACAAGCAGACAGGACCCACAGGAAGCATTCAGCCAGGCTAAGAGAACTGTTAAGTTGTAACCTACCCGTTCAGTTATTTTGTTGACCTCCTTCTCGACTCAGGCCCTGATTCCAAAGCGGAACCTGACAGATACAAGGTCCCTGGCCTGCAGTCTGGTGGAAAAATCATTTAAGAAATAAACACACAGAACACATCACAATAAGTATATGAAGGAGAATTACAGCGTGCCCTCTGTGTGTGGTGGGGAGACCTGATTTAGGCTGGGCAGGTGGGTTCAGCAGAGCTCCCTGAGCAAATCAGGTTTAGGGCAAGGCCCACGTGGTTAGAGTCGGCCTTGCCCATGGAGCTCAGCTCTGGACTCAGAGCAGGACTTGGGAAAGCCCTGCGGTGGGACAAGCTCTGTAACTGAACTAACCAGAGGCCGCTGTGAGGGCCGATGGCCGAGGGCAGCGGGGGGACAGGGATGTTCGAGCTTCTCGTGGTGTCTGCTCTCGTTCGGGTTTATCTGTCGTCAGAAGTGATGCCTTTGCAAGGATGATTAGTTTGATGGAAAGGTCACATGGCCCATAATTGGCTCAGCCCCTGCCCTGGAGGAGGGGGAAGAATGTGCAGCTTCATCTCTGATGGGAGAACTGACATTCGTGTCCCTCTCTGCGGAGGCTCTGGTCCCCTTTGCCCCAGATGGGTGCTCTGGTCAGATCGGGGCTTTCCTCTGCAGGAGAGCAGTGCTCCTGCATCGCTGCGGGCAGAAGCGTGAATGTCAGGGTCTGCTGGGAACCTGGAGAGCATAGGACCCCCTCTGTCGTCTCGCACTTGGGGACACTGCGCTCTGGAGAGAGGGGGTGGCTCACTCACGTTGACCCGCTGAATCAGGTGGTCGGAGCCAGAGCCCAGGGCCCTTCGTCTCGGGCACTCCCCACAGGCCGGCTCCGCCCCACTGCTTGGATGTCCTGCCCGTGGCCAGTGGGTCCAGGGGCAATCAGTCCCCGATCTTGCTCTGTGTTTTCTCTCTCTGCTGTTTCTTCTTGGATCCCTTGTTCCTGGTTGTCTGCCGCCTTTTGTATTGAGTGTTTTTTGTGATTTGTGGCTTATTATCTATAACTAGTATATATAACTAGTGTAACTATGTTCTAGTTCTTTGTGTAAAGGTAGGTTGTTTATTAGATATTTTCCTTGTTTCTTGAGATAGGCCTTTATTGCTAGGAAATTCCCTCTTAGAACGGCTTTGGCTGCATCCCAGAAGTCATGGTGTGTTGTATTTCCGTTTTCACTTTTCTTATGGTAGTTTTTGATTCCTCTTGATTTCTTCCTTGACCCATTGGATGAGCTACTTTTTTTTAGTGGTTGCTTGCAGGAATTATGGTACAGATCTCGACTTAACCGTGGTCTGTCCCCCAGCGATGTTATCCAGTTCCCAGATGGCACAAGAACCTTACAGCAGTGCTCTGCCACGTCCCCTCCCAGCCTTTGTGGTGTTATCATCATACGTTTTACTTCTATTTAATAAACCACACAGTACGTGATGGGCTTGTTTGTGTGTGTGTGTGTTTTGCTTTTGTTTTTGCTTGAGACAGCTATCTTTTAAAGAGATTTTTAAATAAGAAAAGATATGGGTTTTTAGTTTCCCCTGTTTGCCATTTGGGGTGCTCTTTACTCCTTTTCATACACCCAGGTTCCCACTGGGTCTCTTTCTCCTCCCCACTTAAACCTTCCTCATAGCACGGGCTCGCCGATGGTGCCTTCCTGCCGCTTTCACAAGTCTGAAAAAGTCGTCTCCTGCCTTCAGCTTGAAAGCTGTTTTCACCGGGTGTGGCGTTCCCGGCTGGGTGATCTTCTTCCAGACGGCAGTGCCACTCCACGGCCCTCCGGCTCCCGTCGTTTCCGCCCTGTCTGCTGTGTTCTCGCCTTTGTTCCTTAGCGCACCATGGCTCCTCTTCCTCCGCTGCCGTGCGATTTTCCCTTGATCCCTGCCGTGGGGCTGTCTGCCGCCGTGCTTTGCCTTCGTGTGTGCTCCTTGCCTCTGAGGACTCTGCGAGTCGCGTCCCCCAGCTCCCCGCCGCTCTGCTTTGTTTTGTTTTCCACTTTTTTTCTTGGTTTCATTTTGAACGGCTTCTCTTACCATGTCTTCACCTGCCCGAATCTTTTCTTCTGCAGCGTCCACTGTCAGTCCCGTCTAGCGTCGCCGTCTCCTCCAGAAGTCAGGTTTGGGTCCTTTTCAGTATCTTCCGTGTGTTTACCTGGGGTGCTCAGTCATTCCCCCACCTTCTTGAACATTCACGGTACGGCTGAAATAACTGTTCACGATCCACGTCCGCTAAGTCGATCGTCGTGTCATTTCTGGGCCTGCTCCTCTTGACTGTTTTTTCTTTTCTTCGTTAGCATCGGATTCTCTGCTGCTTGGCGAGCCTTGTCATTTAATCAGACAGCAGACCTCGCGCTTTACCGTGTCGGGAGCAGGTTATTCTTGTGTCCCTGTAAATGTCCTGGAGCTCCTGCTGAGACACGGTCTGTCACTCGCTCCTCCTGGGGCTGTCAGACTTCACGGGGCCAGAGCAGCCTTCCTTCAGGGCTGGCTTTGTCCACTCCCGGGACCGCACTCTGTGAGCACTCAGCCGATGCCCCGTGAATTTCAGGGCTCTGTGTGGCTCTTTGCTCTCTCACTGCCTTGATCTCCTCAGACTGAGCTCTGCTTGACTCGGGGTACCGCCCCCTCAGTTCCTCCTCCCCGGAGGCCCCAGGCAGTGAGCCAGGGCAACCGCATGGCTCACCTTGTGTGCTCCCCGCTTACAGGACTCCCCGTCCTGTGAGGGCTGATGTCCGGTGTCTAAAAACCCTTGTGGCCTACGTGGCCTCCAGTTGTTTAGATTTTCCAGGCAGCGGGGGCGTAAATGCTAGGGACTTCATCCCGGCCGGGAGCGGAAGTCCACTCCGCATCTGTATCAGAGCCGTTTCAGCCGTGCCCGCAGGGATGAGTGCATGTCTGAGTGGCTAGCCCCCAGCCAGCCACGGGGACAGTGGCATCGCAGGAAGTGATCCGAGTGGGAAGGACCTCTGGTTCATTGACGAGTGTGGTTAGTGCCGTTGAACTGTCCTCAGCTTTTCCTGTCTGTTTTCTGTCATTCCAGGGGCTGGTCTTGTATCGAAAGCGATCGTATTTCGATAGGGCGGGGTTAATTAGAACCGCTTTAATAACTCATTCTGAGAAACTAGTTTCCAGAGAAGTAAAAACTGGTGGAAGTGGTTCTGATGGTCACTTAGCTGCTGATCACTTTGGACGCGTCATGTGCTTTCTCACTTGGAGGCGGGAATAAGGGTGCCCTTTCTCGTGAAGGTTGTTGGGGCCAAAGTGGTAACCAACGCCCGCAGCCCTGGGGCTCGGTGCTACGGCTTCGTCACCATGTCCACGTCCGACGAGGCCACCAAGTGCATCAGCCACCTGCACAGGACAGAGCTGCACGGGAGGATGATCTCCGTGGAGAAGGTGAGCGGTGCGCGCCGGTGTCCCCTGCCCAGGTCCCCCATCAGGGGCACGTGGACCCTGAGCCGTTTCTGCCCGTGTTGTGTTTTAGGCCAAAAACGAACCAGCTGGCAAAAAGCTGTCCGACCGAAAAGAGTGCGAAGTGAAGAAGGAAAAGTTAACGAGCGCTGACAGATACCATCCTGTGGAGGTCAAAGTGGAAAAGTAAAGTGACGTTTGAACACCTTTCTCCTGGGTGGAGGGCTGGGAGGGGCGGGCGGCAGCCTCGGGGCCGGCAGGGAGCGAGCGTGCGTCCTCCTCGCCATGAACAGCCTCCCGGTCACATCCCAGGTGATCTTTCTTCGTGCTGCCACTTCCATCCTCAGCTTTCAATAAAGACGTTTTGTGAATTAACCAGTACCTAAAAAATGGATCTGCTGATCCTTAATGAGTGTTTATGTTCAGACAGCTTAGTAGCCTGTTGAAAAACATAACACACACGAAATGAAAGAGTAATATTTTTATTTCATTCTACATTCTGGGCCCTTGCACGGCCTCTCAAACCTTGGACTCGTTTCCTGAGCCAGACTGGTTTTCACGCAGCTCCTGCTTTTTATCAAAGCAACTGCGGAAACCCAGCTTTGCAAAGATGCAGCATCGTCTAAAAGGATGCAGCCCGATTTAGTACTGAAGTGAATGGCCTCACGCGAGTGTCTGTGTGGTATCTGACCACTGTCAAGTCGGAGACTTAAAACGCCCCAGGGTGCCTGAGCTCTCTGTGGTCCCCGGGGCTACCTTGACACAGTGGTTTGGGAACTCCGGGTCTGAGCTACACTGTCTATAGAGGATGCAGTTTGTTTCTTTAATCCAGATGGAAATAGGGACAGGTCTTTCAAAGCAGGCACTGCTTATTTATACTTTTATCAAAATCTCAGGTTTGGGGCCAGCCCGGTGGTGTAGTGGTTTCATTCACACGCTCGGCTTCAGAGGCCCAGGATTCCTGGGTTCGGATCCCGGGTGCAGACCTAACACCGCTCGTCAGGCCATGCTGTGGCGGTGTCCCACATATGAAACAGAGGAAGATGGGCACAGGTGTTAACTCCTGACCAAAAAAAAATCGCAGGCATATCTTTCTGAGAAGGTAGTCTTTGGTGACGTGCTGGATACGGCGCTGTTCTCAGCACTGAGCGTCTATTCAGTTCATAATGTCGACACAAGCTGTTTCCACGTCTACATCCACTCACGCTCTAAAAATCGAACTTTTGCTGAGACTCTGCCAGTCTCCTAGTGATTCCATTTTGCTGTTTTATAGGAACGTTTATAGTCGAGTAAACGTGGCTGTGGACGTGGTCAATCCTGCTAAGTTGAACTTGGTTTGTAAAGGTGTGATTGCCAGTCCTTTTTTTTGGTGAGGAAGATTGGCCCTGAGCTAACATCCATGCCCATCTTCCTCTGTTTTGTATGTGGGATGCTGTCACAGCATGGCACATGAGCAATGTAGAGGTCCATGCCCGGGATCCAAGCCTGCAGACCCCGGGCTGCCAAAGCTGAGTGTGAGAACTTTACCTGCTACGCCACTGGGCCAGCCCCTGATTGCCAGTCATGGTGGCCAAATTGGGATTTGTCGGCCCCTGAGCAGTGGGCATGAGACCAGCCTTTGTGTGTTTAGGAGTGAGTCCGGTCATTTTCTCAGCAGCCTCTCCAAGGAGACACACCCTGTCTGCAGCACTGGCCAGTTGGTGTTGGGAGAACTGGGGAGCCGTGGAGAGTCCTTGTGTCCACGGTGTTGGGGGTGCATCTCCCGCGTTGGTTGTTGGATCGCGAAAGTGCGCCGTGTTTGTGGAAGAGAGGAAGGGGCATGACTAGCTCATGGTTGTCGGTGGTTCCGTTAGTCCCGGGCCCGTCCTGGCGTCTGTGCTCTAGTGGAAGAGGGAGCGGGCTCAGCCAGTGGAGGTGCCCAGCGAGGGGGCGGCAGGGCTGGGATGCGGTCCAGGCTGGCGCCCTGCCCCGGTGTGGGGGCCCTTAACCAGATGATGAACTGGAGAGGTTTCAAACCAGACGGCCTTCCAGTGGATTCCCTAGGAGGTTGAACGTTTTCAGATTGGTTTGAACCATATTTTTCTCTTTAAATAAACACCTCCATTAACCTTTTCTTTTGTTTTAAGGATTTCCAGGTTTAGGTTAGCCTAAGCAGCATAGAGGGACTTTTCCAGAGAGGGGGGCTTGTCCTCGCTGTCTTGGACGAGCAGCGAGTGTGTGTCAATGCCATTTGGAAAGCGCGCACGTGTCGAGCACGCTCCCACCCTTGGGGGCGACGCTTTTGGGTGTGTAGCCCTCCAGCCCTTTTCCTATATACATATTTGTTTCTTAGAAATGACTGCTTACGTAATTAGCATTACCCCAGTTCCTTTGTGTTTCGGAGATGCCCTGGGAGTACAGGGCAGGTAGCCGTCCCACAGGAGTCAGGGAGGCATGACGGAGCTGCCTCAGGTGGCCTTCTCTGCAGCCCTAGCTCCTGGAAGCAGCGTCTGTGCCTGTCAGGAGGGGCCGGTGACCAGCCGAGGGCTGCTGTGCTGCAGGTGAAAGGGCCCAGAGCTGTGTGTGTCCACGCGGATGGGCCTTGGGGTGTGAGCCGAGGAGCGCTGTAGAGCCCACCTCGGTGCCGTCCCCTTGCGTCAGTCTTAAGAAGTGACGTCAGCGCAGGGGTCCTCATGGTCATGTGACCGTGCGTGTACTGCAGTCGCAGGAGCAGGAGCCGGGTGATGGGCAGTGACGGTGCGGTGGCGGTGCTCACGGTGATGCGGGGGGGGGGGACGAGTGTACCGTGGTCCCCCTGATCCACAGGGGTGCGTTCCAGGACCCCCCGTGGATGCCTCAAGCCTCAGAGAATGCCGAATGTGTGATATACACATATATGTGTGTGTGTGTTTGTGTGTGTAGTGTGCATACACACACACAGTTTCATAGTTTTTCCCTGTACGATGAAGTCTAATTTATAAAACCAGGCACAGGAAGAGGTTAACAATGATAGCTACTATTAAATAGAGCCATTATAACAATATCCTGCAATAAAAGTTATCATAGATCTTGGCGACCTCAGCATATGATTTTTTTCTTTCCTTAATAAGTCGAGAGCTTTCATCTTTTCGCTAAAGGAAGCATTTACAGCTTCTCTCGGGCGTACCCGAGTGGCCACCGTCACTGCTCTCGCGCCTTGATGGGCCGTGATTAAGTGAAATCCGGGCGACGTGAGCATAAGCCCTGCGATACCGTGACAGTCGATCTGAGACGCGAGACGACCCCTCAGGGACTGAGGGCGGGGGGGGCCGTACACAGCGTGGACACGCGGGACCCGGGCACAGCTTGATTCCATCATGCTTCTCAGAAAAGCACATGATTTAGAAGTTACAAATGGTTGGCTTCTGAAATTTTCCATTTAATATTTTCGGCCCGTGGTGGACCTCGGATAACTGAGACCGTGGATAAGGGGCAGTCCTGCATCTGTGACGTCTGCTGTGTCCATAGTGTTGGTTTAAAAAGGAAACCAGCACGTTGTTGATTCTGGTACACACCATCAGTGATTACCTGTGCATATTTACAGTTTTTAAAATTTTAAAATGAAAAATTTTCTGAAAATGGGTATCATTTTAAAGCCCACAGCTCCATGCTGTGCAAGTTTAGGAGGGAGGCGGAGTGAGCTGGGAGGTCTCCTCGGTCAGCCTGAGCTGGGCCCGCTCGTGGGGTCGAGGGGGCGGGCAGCACCGGTCAGAGGCCTGCGGGCCCGGCTTACCCGCCCTGGGCCTGAGTAAGCTCGGGGTTGACGGCCGAGACAGACGGCATGAGGGAATGGGGCAGACAGCATGGGCTGGCGACCATGACTTGTTTCCCTGCCTTACGATCAAACCGCCTTCGGGTGGAGTGTTAGACTTTGCACACTTGCTGGCACGTCGTGTGTCATTTTAACTCCGCCGCAGTCCGCGGAAGCTGCGAGGTGTGGCGTGTTGGTGTCCAGCGCAAGTGACCCACTGCTTCATGAGCAGGAGCCTCCTGTCCCCGTCCTGTACCCCCATTCTATCTGATGCTGGACTTATTGGAAAAAACGTTTTCCCTAGAAAACCTGAAAATAATACTCCGCACGTACAAAACGGGACACTTAAGATGAGCTCTTAACAAGCCTTGCTGTGTGCGTGGAGTTTTGCCCGTGTACGCCTGCCTGCCTCGCGCATCCCTGCGTCTGGCATTGTGGGGAGACGGCACCAGGAACCCGCAGCTTCCTTCTGCATCTTTCTAGATTAATAACCATTAGTAACCGACGTGGGAGTGGGGGCTGCATCTAGAGAGGGTCTTATCTTTAGCACGGTTTTCAGATCATCCCCATCCGCTGGCCGCCGGCTGCTGGGGTCCGTGTGCAAGTGTGAGTGTGTGTGACCCCCTCCTGTCACAGTCTCAGGAACTCGAGTTTGATAACCGTGTCTTTTAATAGAACCGTAATTAAGAAGGAAGAGAAGATCGATAAGAAGGAGGAGAAAAGGCCTGAAGACATTAAAAAGGAGGAAAAAGACGAAGATGAGCTGAAGCCAGGGCCCACCGATCGGTCCCGAGTCACCAAATCAGGTGAGGCGTCCTTTACATGCCCACGAGCAGGGCGGAGCCTGGGGACAGGGCTGGGTGGGTGTTGGAGCACGTGGGCCCGGCCAGCTTTCGGGGGAAGTCAGGGCAGCGGGGTCCCCGGTGGGGAAGCGGCCGCGGGGCTTTCTCCCTGACACCAGGCACCGGGCGGCGTCCGGGCTGCTGGCTCAGGGCCGGGCTGTGCTTCTCCTGAGTCTTTGGCAGAGGAGAGTGCGGGGTGTGCAGGAGGAGGCGGCCTGGCTCCTTGTCGCTAATTCAGCTGTGCGGTCAGCTTTATCCTGCATTGATGTGCAAGCCGGCCGGCGTGCAAAACAGAGAAAGCAAAAACCTCACAACACCCGTGCCCTGGGAAGGTGACAGACGAGAGCACACCCCTGTCGGCATTTTATACAAATGCATTGTGCTCTGTGCCTTCCGATTGGCTTGAGACGCCACAGAATGTTTGTGGCAAACAATAAAATTCTTCCTCTCCCAAAACAACCCAAAAACCAGAAGCGAAACCCAACCCTCTGGAATTTGCTGGAGCGAATGACGACGACTTAGATCTTAGATGTTCGGGTAATTGGCCGGCACTCGTGAGGGACGCGCTTTGACGATGTTCCCCGAGTGTCGCAGATCTGCCGAAATCACGACTCGCTCCAGCGGGGGGCGCCCGGTGGTCGTGTCGGGGGAGACGGGTTTGCAAGCCTTTATCGCTGTAGGAGGTGAAGGGAAGCCCCCCATCGGCTGGGGCTCCCTTGGAGCCGGCAGTGTCTGATTCAGAGCACCAGGACCCAGATTCCGCAGAGCCTTCTAGAATGTGTGGGAGGGATAAAAATCGAGACTGGTCATGCTGGGGGTTTGGTGTGGGCTCGAGGAAGCCTGCAGGGCGGGTGTGTGCACATGGCATGGAATGTTCTCCGACTCATATCTCAGGTGTAAGGTGTGAGCAGATCGCGGGCACCGCCGTCCACGTGGGCACGGGCCTGTCGAGGTGCGCCAGCCACTGCCAGCCGGGGTGGCCTCTTGCTGGTACTGTCTCTGCTGGAGGAGAAAGAGGGGTGCAGAGGCTCCCAGGGCGTCAGTCACTCGAGTGTCTGCTCGCTGTCGGGCTGTGGGGTGCCGTGTGTTCTCAGAGGTGGCTGTTTCTTCCTCAAGGAAGCAGAGGAATGGAACGGACGGTCGTCATGGACAAATCGAAGGGAGAGCCCGTCATTAGCGTGAAGACCACGAGCAGGTCCAAAGAGAGGGTGAGTATTGCACCCGCCCCTGCAGGCCCGCCGTCGTGGGGGCGCTTAGCGGCCACTTTGATTGGCGTTATGACAACAGTGCTTTCACCTTTAAAATTCTCAGTTCTTTGAAGTCGTCGGCAGGCCCGTCCTTGACTGTTCAGGTTGTGTGTACAGACAGAACGCAGGTTCTAGAACTTATTTCAAAACAGTCCCCTGCCGTGTTGGCTTCCCCTGTGGCCCCCTCACCGAGCCTTCGTCAGGGTGAGCCGCTCGGACAGCAGCGCCCCATCCGTAGGACGGGTGGGACCTGCTTTTCTCGTCGGAGGGCGGGGTCTGCTCTGTGCTTAGTTTCCTCGTGGTTTGTTCAGTTTCTGGAGTCGACTTTCTGATCTTCTGTTGAATAACCCAGAAGCTAAGTCCACCTTAGCACTGAGCGTGCCCCGTCACCCGAGAAGGAGCCGCGCTGCCTACCTTGGACACGCAGCTGGGCACGCTGGGGGCTTCGCGCTGGCTTTTCCCGCTCTGGGAGACAAGCCCTCTGCTTCCCATCCGAAGGTTCTAGCTGGAAGGTTCTCGAGCACAGCAGAGCCCTTTCAGGGACTGCGGAGTCGTTCCTCCAGGTGCACTGGGCGGTGTCGAGACTTCACTTCAGAGCGAACATCTGGATTCCAGGAGGCAGCAGTTCCTATGCTGCTCTTTCTGTGGCCTCCATGAAAATCATAAAATACAGAGAAATCTAGAGGAAAAAAGAGACACGTGATCTTACCACTCAAATAACTGATGTAAAAAAAATGAGTAGTAACGATGCGCGAACGAGCACCCAGGCGGTACAGGAAGACGCAGCACAGGCACATGGGTGCCTCTGCCCCCACAGCGGCCACACCGCGTCCCGGAGGGCGGTGCACGCACGCGCACAGGCCCCGTGGGGAGAGGAGCGTCCTCTGACTTGCCCTCGTGCACTCTGTGCGTCTGCGTCCTGGGAGCCTCACCTGTTGAGACGTAGTTCTCCTGTTTGACTTGTTAAAAAAAATTTTTAAGTTTTGGAATAATTACAGACTCACAGGAAGTTGTAAGAGTTAGTACAGAGGTCCCGGGTACCCGTCACCCAGTTTCCCCCGGTGGTTCCGTCTCCTGTGACTGTCGCACACGACAAGCCAGGAAGGGGACCCTGGAGGACGGGCCGTGTGTCGTGCCAGGACGTTCTGGCACCAGGGAGGATGAGTGTGGCCGCCACCGCACTCGAGACGGAGAGAGCTCCAGGGTGTCTCCCCTTTACTGTCCACGCCCCCCAGCCCACCCCCGTCATACGTCTCTAGAAGGTGTCGCTGTGAGGATGGTGTCGGCGGAGTCACGCAGCCCGTGACTTCTTGAGGCTGCTGCTTGCGCTCTGCATGGGGCCCCTGGGACTGTCTGGGTGGCCCTGCGTCTCCCGTTCCTTCTGAAGCTGCATGTGATTCCATCTGTGGACGCGCTGTGAGCGCCCTCACTGGCACCCTGGCGACATGCTTGTCTCCACGGCCCCACGGAAATGGCTGTGGCGCCACCTCCCTGTGCGCCTCTGGCAGGCCTGTGTCTAGGCGCCGAAGCCCGTCAGTGGTGGCAGGTGCAGAGGTGTCTGCTTGTGACTCCTGGAGAGCCCTCAGCAAGGTCGTGGAGATGCTGACCTTGGGTGGGCAGCTGGGGCTGGGTTCTGAACCCCGGAATGCGATCCGGGGCTCTCTGCCACGCTGGCCTCTGCACTGGGTCGCTCCCCTCCCCGGGAGCTCGGGGTCTGTCTCTCCTCCCTCCCACTGAGGGGGCTGCGACCAGATCTCAGCTTTTGGCCCGTCTCGTGGACGAAGGGTGTCATCACCATGTTTGGGTGGCAGAGTGTCCTTGTAAGGAAGTTGTCCTCTGTGTCTCTGTGCCTCCCCCTGGTTTTTCGGGGGGTTTTTGCTGCTGTTATTTCTTGGTGAAGTATCTGGTCAAAGCCTTTGCTCCCCTTTCTCTCGGTTGCTTTGTCCTTCGTTGTCGCTGCTCCCCCACGGGCTGATTTGGAAGATAAGCTGAGGACCTTTGAGTACCCGTCTCCCAGGCGAGAGTCTGGGCTTCAGGGCTGGGGGCCCGGGCTCCAAGCCGGGTAAACACGTCCTGGAGAGGCCTACTCGTGCCCGTTGGGGCGTCCCGGCCTCTGAAGCCTCCGCAGGGGAGGCGGCCACTCGTGTTTGCTGCCCTCTCCAGGGAGAATGGACACGCGTGCTCGGGAAGGCCGTGTACGTGCCGAGGGCTCTGCAGACAGGGGAGTGGCTTTGGCAGCCACCTGCCTGGGGCCTGAGCCCCCCGAGGAGAGCACGACAAGCAGCCCCTCCTCCAGTGGTCCACACCGCTGGCCTGACTGCTGTTGCCCCTAAACAAATGGGCCACCGTGGCGTCATGTGCATGTGCCCCGGGGCTCCGAATAGCCTCGTTGGCTGTAGATTTGTGGAGGCCGTGGCTCTGCCACGCCAGAGAAGTGACAGCGGGTTCCCGAAGGTTCCTCTGCCTCCTCTCCTCCTTGAGGGCCCTGTGTGCGGGTTGAGAGAGGACCGGCCGAGCGGCGTGATGCAGAGCGGAGCTCATGGCCTGCCCCGGGCCGGAGACTCCCAGTGTCACCCAGGTCCGCGTCTTATTTAGTGTGCCATCGTGGGAATCACTTTTCTGATGTTAATAAAGCACTTTTGGTAAACAGAGCTCCAAGAGTCAGGACCGTAAATCCGAGAGCAAAGAGAAGAGAGACATCTTGTCGTTTGATAAGATCAAGGAGCAGCGGGAGCGAGAGCGCCAGAGGCAGCGGGAGCGGGAGATCCGCGAGACTGAGCGGCGGCGGTGAGTGGCCGGCAGGCGGGCGGGCTCCCGGGGGCTCCCCGAGGCCGGGGCGGCATTTCCCCAGGTCACAAGCGGCACAGCATGGATGGCGTGTCGGGCTTCAGAGCCCGTTTCTGCCCAGAGGGCATCCTCTGGCTGCAGCCGGCCCCTGGCCCGCTGAGCCAGCCCCTGCGTGTGGCTCTGATGGCAGGTCCCCAGTGTGGAGGCCTCTGTCTTCCCTCCAGACCCTTCTATGGTCATCATTTCCTGGGCTCAGGCAGGTGGCGGCTATGAGGGCTGTCCCCATGGCAGTGGCGTCCCCACTCCTGGCGCTACTGTGCTAGTGGCCTTCCCAGGTGGCCGCAGCCCCCAGTGCATCCTTGGCCGCCCTCCCTCTCGTCAGGGAGGCTGGGCGGAAGTAGGCAGCCGCTGCCGCTCTCCGGTTCCGCCATCACCGGGGCGGCAGAGCTCCCTTGTCATTTCTCCACATGCTGCTGTGACAAATCACAGCCACGCAGCGCAGGGTCTGGGGGCTTCATGGAGCTCGAGCGGAGCCCTTGGAGGTGTCCCCAGTGATGCTCCGGCCTCTCTGCCACAGCCCTGTCCTCTCTGCCTCCACTTGGCCAGCTTTCCCAGCCCCGGTGGCCTTTGCCTGTTTTCCTGGGGTTGCCCTGTGCCCACAGCAGCCTTTAGAGTCGCAGCCATCCTTGGCTTTTTTCCTTTTCTCTCCCCAATAATGGGGGGCTGTGTTTTGGTGCCTTTGAGCCCATCCTCCCCACCTGGCCCTGGGGTCTGTCTCCCGCCGCCCTTCCCTCCTGGTTCAGCCCTGGCTGTGCCGTGGGGAGCAAGGGGAAGCCGGGAGGTGGGGTGCCCGGCGATCCAAGTAGCTGGGCAGGAGGGACCGGTCCGCGCCGGAGCGCCTGGTCGGGCAGCCAACACCTGAACCTGCACAGGGACGTCAGGTGGCCGCCTGTGTGCCCGCAGGGAGCGCGAGCAGCGCGAGCGGGAGCAGCGGCTTGAGGCGCTGCACGAGCGCAAGGAGAAGGCGCGCCTGCAGCGGGAGCGCCTGCAGCTCGAGTGCCAGCGGCAGCGGCTGGAGCGCGAGCGCCTGGAGCGGGAGCGGCTGGAGCGCGAGCGCATGCGCGTGGAGCGCGAGCGCAGGAAGGAGCAGGAGCGCATCCAGCGCGAGCGCGAGGAGCTGCGGCGGCAGCAGGAGCAGCTGCGCTACGAGCAGGAGCGACGGCCGGCGCTGCGGCGGCCCTACGACGACGGCCGGTGAGGGGGGGCCGCCCTTCCTGCGCCCCGGTGGGGAGAGGGGCGCGCGGACGAGGCGCGCCGGGGCCCTGGCAGAGCCCGTGGTCGTTTGTGCCCTCGTCCATGGGGTTGTCTCAATCGGGTGGCTGTGTGCCTCGGTATGGGCCTGTGCTAAGGGCCTGTGGTGCTTCCTCGCGCCGCCCCATCCCTGGCACTGTGGTTTCTGGGGGAGCAGAGCCACCGTCCAGGAGCTGGTCTGGAGAACCCAGGGCTGCGCTGGGCCTTGTGTGTCCTTGTAGCGGGAGAGGCAGCGTCACCGGGTGGGGAAGGAAACTGCCTTCCTGGTGCAAAAGTGGGGGGATTGCTCTCCAGCTCTCTGCGCTGTGTGCCTGACGGTCACCGTCTCCCCACGCCCGGGAGCCTGGTTTGCTGGTGAAAATGGGGAAGGAGGTCATTGGAGGGCGTCCTGAGCTGGGCGGCGTCTCATTCACTGGCCCCCATCTAATCCCCTTTGTTCCTGCAAAAATGCCCCGGGAGGTCCAGGTTCCTGTAGAAGGCGGGAAGGCGGAAGTGTGGCGGCTGGAAGGCCGTTCCAGAAGGGTCAGGTCCTTCCTTTCCCTTGCGTGTGAGCGCGCGCGGGATCAAGGTGTCGGCCGCCTCGTGGTGCAGCAAGCTCCCAGCAGCCCTTTCACCATGGTGGCCGAGCAGACCATGGCGCCTCGGGGCGGTTTGGGGGCTTCTCATCTCTCTAATCAAAGCCATCGTGATTGAACATTTTGAGATTAGCCCTGTGGGACGTTTTAGATGATACCAGGCTGGGGGAGAGCTCGCGCCTCCACCCCCTTCCTTTGTTCCCTCGGTTTCTTTCATAAGTGGAATTTGCGTCCTTTTTGTGATAAAACCAGGCGAGAGGATCCCTATTGGCCGGAAGGAAAGCGCCTGGCCGTGGAGGACAGATACCGCCCCGACCTCCCTCGGCCAGACCACCGCTTCCACGACTGCGACCATCGCGACCGCGGCCAGTACCAGGACCACGTGGCCGACAGGTCAGTGCCGCCCGCCGTGGCCGTTCCCCTGAGGCCTGGTCCACTCGTGAGGTTCCTGCTGCACCATCCCCGCTGCACGTGGGCTTTAGAACCAGGCCCCGAGCAAGGTGCCAAGTCTGTGGTCCCTTCGACGTCCTCGACTTGTCCTGCAGGAGGTGCCTCCGAGCTCGTTTCACGTGCTGTCCTCGTCACAGATGGCACCTAGGCAGCCTGGGGCAGGTCTCCAGCCTCTTAGGGGCCCAGGCTCTGGGTTTCACAGCGCCCAGGGGTCGCTCCCCGGCCCTGCCTCCTTATCCCCCCGTCCTCCCCCTGCATGGCCCACTGGAATCACAGAGAGGCAGCTGTTTCGAGAAGGGGCGTGCCTCCTGTGGCTCCCCGAGCCTCCCGGTCCCAGTGCCGCAGACAGAAGCGGCCGGCGACGGTGGGAGAGTTCCTTTAGGCCCGCTTCGTGTTCCGAAGGTCGGGGTGGGCTTTTTCAGCCAGCGCCTTTTTTTTCTCTTCTCCTTTTCTGCCAGTGCCTTTTTTAGTCAGGAGTGGGTCTGATGCCTTGGGAGGGCAGCCCGCGATGTCCAGTCTGAGAATCTTCTGGCTTTCCCGCTGGCCCCCGGGCTGCATATCGCTGAGCCATTTCCTAGTTCATTAGGTCTTCTGGAAGGGTGGGGAGCGGGGGAGGGCGGCTGAGAAGCTGCGCACGTCCTTCATTGCGCTGGAGGTGGTCTGAGGCTCAGTGTTAGTCACGTGCAGTGGGTCGGACCAGAGGTTCGGGACCCTCAGAGGCTGCTTTTGTCGCCAGACCACAGGTGGGAGGCACTGGCTTCAGGGCTGGGTCTGTGCTCCGGAAGCCCCTCTGAGGGATCCTAGGCCAGTGAAATCCTTCCTCCCACCCTCGGGACCCGACTTCCCTCCCGCCCGCGGGGAGAAGCCTCAGCTGCGAGCCAGCTCTTCTTTCGGAGTACCTTAGCGTCCTTAGGTGGTGACAGTGAGTGTCTGGTGGTGGAGCTCTTGCGTGTCCCCCAGCAGTGTCGTGCGGGGCCGTCGCGGCTGCTGGAATGAGATCTTTCCTTTTGCAGGAGGGAAGGTCCGAGGGCAGTGATGGGAGAGCGAGACGGGCAGGTGAGTGAGACCCCGACCGCGGGCCGGGCGCCGCCTCGGGGCAGGGGCGGGGGTGGGCCGTCCGTCTGGCCGGCATAGTGAGCGTGAGTTTCTGGTACGGGGGGCCTGCCCTTGCTTCAGCTCACCCAGTGGGAACTGCCAGGAGCTCTCAGTTGTTGCTTAGCGCTCAGTTAGGGAGTCGTTGAGCCTGGGTTTGGGGGTCCCGGTGGCTGGTGATCTGCAGGCGCCCGTGTGGGGTGCATACGGTGTCGACTCAGAGCGAAGGGCAGTCTGGGCCTCCATGAGAAGGTGGGGCGGCGGCATGGTGGCTTTTTCAAACAGGGCTACGTTTGGGAGAACATTGGAGCGTGCTCTCTCACTGCCCAGATGTGCTGGGTTCCTGGGCGCAGGGTTGGGTGGCCAGGATGCTGGTCATTCCATCTGTGGTCCTCGTCTCCGGGTGTCGGAGTGAGGGAGCCCCGGCCGCCTCCATAGGGATGCGCAGCGGGGTCTGAAGGCACTGGGCGTGTGGGAGGGCCCTCCCGTCATCAGCAAGGACAAGGTGTCTGGTTCTTTGGGGAAACTGCTAAGTGACTCTTGGCGGACCCTTCAGCAGGGCCACCGAGCTCCAAGAAGCACAGGGCCGAAGGGGCTTCCCGGGTGCTTGGTGTGGTGCCAGCGATGATGCTGGGGGGCCCCAGGAGTTGTCGAGCAGGAGGAATCAGCAAGCAAGGGCTGTGCAGGACCTCCTGTGATGTCAGGGTCATAGCGAGCCTTCAGGCAGCGCCGGGTCAGAGGGGCCTGGGCGGGCGGGTGCTCCTCGAGTCCTCACACCTGGGTCTGCGGGTTGACGGGCCGTCTGGGGTGACGAGGTGGAGTCGCCCTTCTCGTGCCTTCCAGCACTACGACGACCGCCACAGCCACGGCGGACCCCCAGAGCGCCACGGCCGGGACTCCCGAGACGGCTGGGGCGGCTACGGCTCTGACAAGAGGATGAGCGAGGCCCGGGGGCTGCCGCCACCACCCAGGTGAGCGAGCGGGCTCCCCATTGCGCCCTCCGCCCCGGGCCCCAGACTGGCCCCAGCTGCGAGGAGAAGCCCCTCCCCCGCTTGTCCTCGGGCCTTTCGGGGCCGGGTCACAGCACAAGCTTCCGCAGGATCTCTGGGGGTGTCCAGGGGTTGAGCGGGGCTGGGGCGCCCGCTGGTGGACGTAGTCATCCTGCCCGAACGGCCTCCTGAGCGCGCGAGCCTTTCCTGTCGTCTGGTCCATCCTGCCTTAGCCAGCTGTGGGGACTTACACGGCTGCACTGCTGCTCAGACGGAAGCGCCCTGAGCGGCTGTCGCCCGACGGCGGCCGGTGCACACGTCCGGGCTCACTGTCTGGGGCCGTATAGCGTCGCCCTCACAGCCAGGTGCGGGCTCTGCTGGGGCCCTCGTCCTGGGCCTGGACCGCCGCCGGGGCCGCTGGTGCCCGTGCGCTGGACCCATGTTTGGATTTCAGTCTCCCAGAGTTTCTCTCTGAAGCTTTTCTTACACAGCCTTTTCAACAAGTAATTCACATGCTACACGGTTCACCCGTTTAAAGCGTGTTCACAGTGTTGTGCGTCCATCACTATGATCAATTTTAGAACATTCCGTCCCCCCACAAGAAGCCCCGTCCCCATCAGCAGTGCCCCCAACCCCCCCAGGCCCTGCACCCACGAGCCCGCTCTCTGTCTGTGGATCGGCCTGTTCTGGACGTTTCCTGTCCATGGGGTCACACGCCGTGTGTCCTTCTGTGTCTGCTTCTCTCCCTGAGTGTTGTGTGTGCAGGTCCGTCCACGTGCGGCAGTGTCAGGGCCTCGCTCCTCTTCACGGCCGCACCGTGTGCCCGCGTGTGGAGGGACACGCTGTGTGGCTTCTTCCCTAGCTGGTGGACACTGGGCTGTTTCCACTTTGGGGCTGTTACAGAATGAAGCTGCCGTGGACGTTCGTGTCCAGGGCTGCATGTGAACGTGGTTCCCGTTCTCCTCGCGGGGGGGTGGGTACCTGGAGCGGCACTGCTAGGTCGGGTGGTCCCTGTGTGTTTAGCTCTTTGAGGACCTGCCAGGCCCGAGGCCCCCGTCTCCACCCATCCCCACCAACACATGTTCCTGTCCGTCTGTCGGATTCTGGCGTCCTGGCGGGGTGAGGGGGGTCTCACGCACACGCTGTGATGGCAGCTGTGCCAAACACCGTCCCGTGTGCTCCCTGGCCACGTGTGTCCTTGAGGACGGGTCTGTTCCCCTCCTTCGCCCACGTCGCTCAGACGCCCCTGACGTGGGCGTGATGAGCCAGCCCGCAGCTGCAGTCGAGGTGCATGAGGACAGCTGCATGTCTGTCTTCTGTTTCGTAAAGGGGCGGACGGGACTGGACGGAGCACTGTCAGAGGCTGGACGAGCATCCGGAGCGCACCTGGCCGGGCACGGTGGACGCGGGCACGGCGGGCCGGGAGCACGCGCGGTGGCAAGGTAGGGTTGGCCGCTGCGGCGGGCACCTCCGGGGGTGGCCCCAGGCTACCCGGAGGGCGAGCTGGCAGGCTCTCTCTTCTCCTGCAGGTGGCGAGCGGGGCCTGTCGGGGCCCTCGGGGCCGGGGCACATGGCCAGCCGGGGCGGGATGTCTGGGTAAGGAGTGCTGTCCGCGGTCCAGTTGACTGTCCCTGCTCCCCGTCCTCTCCCTCTTTTGTGTGTTCGAGCAGCTTGTGTGGTTGGGTGTTTTGAACACAAATTCCACAGCATCTCTTGGCAGCTGGCACAAGTGGCCGTCCTCGGTTACCCCAGCGCAGCCCGCGATTCTGCTCTGTCGCACGCGGACAAAGGCGCTGGCCGGGGACGCGCCCGCGAGAACAAGGCCAGGCGGGCCGCGGGGACAAACGTGCGCCTTTGTTGCAGGCGCGGCGGCTTTGTACAGGGCGGGCACTCGCAGGCTCACGCGCTGCCCGGGGGCGCCCTGGAAGGCGGAGGACTGGCCGGCCAGGACCGCGGCAGCCGCGTCCCCCACCCACACCCCCACCCGCACCCCCACTTCGCCCGCCGCTACTGACCGACGCGCCGCGGCTCCCGCCAGCGTCCCTTGAATGCGGGGACCCTTTTAAGAAGCAAAACCAGGTCCTGCCCCCCTGTTGTAGCGCAATTCAATGTGAAGTCACTTTTTTTTAAATAAACGTGTTCTTGTTCTGCCGTTTCTAAGACAAGGTTTCCGTTACCGAGGCATTCCATTTTCCATGAATAAAGTTTACGGTTCGCACCCGCGTGTGTCCGCTCATTGCAGAGCGGGCGTGGTCCCGCCACTCGAGGCGTCCGTGCCCCGTCTCAGATGAGCCGGGTGCCGGGCACGGTCGTCTGCCCGGGGTCCCAGAGCTCGTGGGTGGCAGCGTGGGGTCGGCATTAGGAAGCCCTCGTTGAGTGAGGCTGTGCGTTCCGTGGGGGCTCCCCGTGCAGGGGCCTGGGGGGTTCCGGCCTGGTGTGCGGTTCGGGGCTCCAACTGAGGGGCAGGGATGGGGTGGCCCTTCCTTGGCCCCCGATCCACCCATTTTCCAGGAGTGCAGGCTCGTGGGCAGTGTCCTCACTGGTGATTATGAGCCATTCCAGTTCTCTCCATCAGAGACAGCCGCCAGGGCCTTGGCTGGTCCCAGGGCCGCTTCCTGAGCCCGCCATCCCTGCCCCAGGGTGACAGCCACCACAGCAGGCGCGTCTCTCCCTCCCCCGGGGGTGACTGCAGACCCGGGGGGCCGGGGACAGAGGGCGAGCTGGCTTCCCCGAGTCGAGTCACGGTGCTGCTCCGGCGTGGTACGAGTTAATCCTCCGTGCCGCCTGCCGGGAACCTCGATTCCCTCCCCTCCGAAAGTAGGACAGCCACCCCACCGGCCGAACAATCGGCGGAGCGTCTGCGCTCCCGCTGGGGCGTTTAGCTGTAAAAGGGCCATGTGACAATCGGGCCCAGCTGGTGGCTGGAGCCGGGGCATGAAAGGCAGGGCGGCCGGCCTCTGAATGGCCGCCAAGAAGCACCTCGCGAGCCACCCCTGTGTGGGGCCTCTGGAGTCCTCGTCCACTGACAGGGTGACAGGACGCCGGCTCCACGTTGTCCCCGGGGCCTCTGCAAGCTGGAGGCTGGACCGGGACCCGGATCTTCCCTGTCGGGCGATGCAAGCCAGACCCGCCTGGGGCTGTGCACGGACCAGCGTCCCATCCGCACGTCCGCTGTCTCTGAGGACCCGGGTCCCCTCAGGTCAGGGCCCGCCCTCACGGCCTCATTGGCATCCGATGACCTCTGTCAAGGCCTCGGCACCGAAACCAGTCCCATTCTGACGTCCCGGGGCCCAGACTCCAACACAGGAATTTGGGGGGACGCAAGAGCACTGTCCGCTTTCCCTACAGACAGATTCTTCCTGGGAATTGCTCCTCGGTTAGTCTGGAACCATTTCTGTGCACAGCTCCGGAGCGCCGGATCCACATGCCTGCCCAGCTGCTGTCGCAGTGTCACAGGTCGGAGCCGGCTGCACAGGCTGAGCGCCTCATTGTGTTCGCGCTGCCGCCGGGCTGGGCGCGAGCGCCCACAGGCCTGAGGAGTATTGGCAGATGCCCTCTTCTCTGGGCTTCTCTTTGTGTCTGATCTGGCAGTCATTGTGTTGTTTGGTGGTGGTTTTTTTTCAATCGAGTAGTTATGTGATACTGATTTTTATTTCAGAACAGAAAAGGGAGGTAGAATGAAACATTCGTTCTAGAAGGGGCTGCCGGGGGAGACAGGCTGTCTCCACCTTTTGGCTCGTGTGAAGGATGCTGCCATGGAGACGGGCGTGCGTGTTTTCCTTGGCACGCCTGTTTGCCATTCTCCGGGGCGGGCACCTCTGAGTGGAATTCCCGAGTCATAAGGTGATTGTAGGCCTGACTTTTGAGGAACTGGCAGACCCTTCTCCACGGCAGCTGCACCGTTTGCATCCCCACCAGCCATGGGCAAGGCTCCAGTGTCCGCCCCTCCTCACCGATACTGGGTATTTTCTGTTTTTTGTTAATAATAGCCATCCTAGTATGTAGTGGTGTGGAGAACCACAATGTAGTTCTATCTAGAAACTGGAATATTACGCAGCCATGAAAAGGAAGGAGATCCTGACACCTGCTCCAACATGGACAGACGTGGAGAACGTGATGCTCAGGGACGTGAGACAGACACAGAAGGACACACACTGTGTGGTCCACTCACAGGAGGTCCCCAGAGGAGCCACAGCCACAGAGACAGAAAGCGGATGGGGGGCCAGGGGCTGGGGGAGGGGTGGGAGTCAGTGTTTCATGGGGACAGAGCTTCCGTTTGGGGAGATGGAAAGTTCTGGAGACGGATGGAGGGGATGGTGGCACAACCGTGTGAGTGTGCTTCATGCCGCTGAGCTGTGCCCTTAAAATGGTGAAGATGGTAAGTTTCACGTTACATGTATTTTACCACAGTAAAAAAAAAAATGTTAAAGTTGGGGTAGGAGCTGCTGGGTGTCGGGAATGGGGGCCGCTGGGGTAGACACGGGCGGGCGGGCGGGCTCAGAGCCAGACGCTGGGACCCAGCCTCCCCGCCAGCCCACGGGGAGTCCATCGTTCCTCGCTGCCTTGGCCTCCTTAACTGGAGGCAGCGGATCATAATAGCGTTTACCATTGAGGGCCTTTGTGGAGATTAAGTTAGTTATATAACGTAAAGAGCTCATGCTTGCTCCTGGCATACAGTAAGAGCTTCATAAATGCTGACTGATCCCGAGAGGCCTACAGGAATAGGGCCCGGGGCGCCCATGCTTTACGGGGGACCCGCAGAATGTCTTGGGGCCTGGAGAGGAGGAGGGAAGAAGTGAGCGGCTCCAAAAATACTATGAGAGCACACAAAATCAGAATTAATACCTTATCAAACATCTCCACATCTACGAAAACGTGTCAGCTTCATCCATTGCTCCATTTTGTGATCATAAAGATTTCATTACGTTTCACGACAGCTCCTAGGTTCAATGTTTTCCCTTTGCAGGAATTCCCAAGCCTGAGCCATGATTGCCAGTCTCAAAATTGCATGCGTCGCTCTAGTCAAAGAATTTCTGACGCCACATAACAAAAAGGCCTTTGGAGGCTTTTTTTTCCCCTCCAAATACAGCCACGGGATGGGCTGTCACCTGCCAGGTGGGCACACATCTCAGCTCCACCTCCTCCATCCGCTGTGTGTCCTGGGGAAAGTGACTTACCCTCTCTGGAGCCCTGAGCTTTCTCAAATGGGCACGAGGCCTCCATCCCAGGTCTCGGGCACGGTGACTTCCTCCTCTCCCGGGAGCGCCGTCCTCATTTTAGGATCCGACACCTGCAGGATAACGGGGTTTTTTCCTGTTGCCGCCGTACCAAATTAATGCAATTTCCGTGGCTTAAAACCACACCACTCACCTCCCAGTTCTGGAGGCCAGACGTCCTAAGACGTGAGGTGTCTGCAGGGCTGGCTCCTTCCGGAGGCGCCAGGGGAGGAATCCAATGCCCTGCCCTTTCTAGCACTTCTAGAAGCTTCTAGAAGTGCCCACGCTCCTTGTCTCCTCGCCCCTTCCTCCATCTGCAGAGCCAGCCGCGTGGCATCCTTCTGATCCTTTTCCCTTAGTCCCATCTCCCCTGACCCCGGTCCGGAAGGGTCTCTGATTCGAAGCATCTGCGTGGGGAGGGGCAGTACGTTGCCCATCACACGGGGTGTGACAAACTCTGCGCTGAGGGTCGCAGACGTGAACGCTGGTCGAGGAAGTGAGACGTACACAGTCCCTGCGGCCGGTGACCGCTTTATACCGGGACACAAAGACGTCACACAACACCCCCAAACCCAGATGTGCCCATCACAGCTGCCCTGGGAGCCAGAGTCCCAGGAAGATCACACAGAGCTGATGGCCCAGAGCCCCAGAGAGCCCGGGACTCACCCACACGGCCCTTCTCGGCCACCCCAGGACGCAGGGGCCACACGCTGAGGTCACACGGTGGTAAAGCGACAATTGCTTTGAGCACCAACGAGCAGGCCGGACTCAAAGACGACCGTCTACGTTATTTCGCGTGTCTAACCATTAAGGATAACGTCCTATGTCCCTACTGCTGTCTGGGGTGGACCGGGCTGGAAGCCGGCCCGGCGGAGCTGGAAGCGGTGCTGGGGCCCCCAAATCTCCCCCGAGAGGCCGGCCCCCAGGGGCAGCCGGATGGCCCATGGGCTGTTGCGTTTTTCCTGCACATCCTCAGATCCACTTCGGGCACAGCACCTGGGTTTGCCTCCGGCTGCAAATATGACACCAGAGGGGCCACATTCTGCTCCAGCGGAAAGTGCTTGGGGCCTGAGAGGCCTCCCCGGCCCCTCTCCCTCCTGCCTCGTCCCTGTCACAGCCGCCTGTCCCACAGCACGTCGTCCGCACCTTCCCCTAGAAGCTTCATGAATGTCTTGTTCTCAGCTGTCCCCACCGTCCACTCAGGGGAAGCACTAGGGCCGGGCAGGGGGAGGGGAGAGAGTGGCAGGCAGGGCGAGCCGGCTTGGGAAGGGCTGGTCTGAACAATTCCAGCAGGGTCTGCGGCTGGCCCTGGTCCGCAAAGCGTCCAAACCCAGAAAATATAGACATAGTTAACACATCTGGAACGTAGCAGACACGTGGTAAATGCTGATCGGATCCTTGGAGAGGAGAAAGAAAGCACATCTTAATCCTGTATTTTCAAGTTTTCACAAGACTTCATCCCCCGTTAGGCCTATGGGGTCTTTCGAGGCCCTGCTAGAAAATTCTCCTAGTTCAGAGCATCTCATGGGGCCGCCAGATCCTTGCGTCCTGTGGCGTCTTTGGGAAACATCAGGTGGCAGACAGTCCTTTTGAGATTGAGGGGAACGTTTGGACGCGTGCAGTAGTAAGGCTGCCGTTCCTGAGAGAGGATCAAAGAACACCTCCAGCCAGAGTTCCCTGGGGGTGCGGGGAGGTGCTTATTAAAAATACAGCTTCCCAGGCCACAGTTTGGGCCTGCTGATCTGATTGAGGCCCTGCCTCCAGCCTCTCTTGCCATCCTGACAGTTGTCAAGTGCCAGGCGGATCCCTGGGTGTGGATGTTCACAGTGGCCTCCACGAGTCAGGGCACTTCCTAGAGACCAAGCCTGGTGGGAGGGGCCGCGTCCCAGTCTGCCCTTCGCCCCCTGGGTGACTTTGAGCCAGTTCCCCTGACCCCCAAGTCTTCCCATCAGGAAACGGGCAGGCGATTTCTGAGGACGCCACGCGTGGATGCCTTTAAAAT